TTGAAGTATAAGTAAATCATACTGACAAGGAAATTCTTTTCTAGCGCACCAATAATATTTCTCTCCAACTTTAGATTCTTTTATCATACAGAGTTATTTGATGTATTCATAAGTTAATCATACTGACAGGGAATTCTTTTCTAACGCACCAATAATATTTCTTTCCAACTTTATTCTTTTATCATACAGAGTTATATTTATTATAAGTAATCATACAAAAACCTGTTGACAAGAAACATGTATAAAGATATATTCTTAAGTTAATCAAGTTGACAGGGAATTCTTTTCCTAACGCACCAATAATATTTCTCTCCAACTTATTCTTTTATCATACAGAGTTATTTGATGTATTCATAAGTTAATCATACTGACAAGGAATTCTTTTCTAACGCACCAACAATATTTCTCTCCAACTTCAGACTTCTTTTATCATACAGAGATATTTGATGTATTCATAAGTTAATCATACTGACAGGGAATTCTTTTCTAACGCACCAATTAATATTTTCTCTCCAACTGCATTCTTTTATCATACAGAGTTATTTGATGTATTCATAAGTTAATCATACTGACAGGGAAATCTTTCTAACGCACCAATAATATTTCTCTCCAACTGCATACTTTTATCATACAGAGTTATTTGATGTATTCATAAGTTAATCATACTGACAGGGAATTCTTTTCTCTTTACCTGCATTCTTTTATCATACAGAGTTATTTGATGTATTCATAAGTTAATCATACTGACAGGGAATTCTTTTCTAACGCACCAATAATATTTCTCTCCAACTGCATTCTTTTATCATACAGAGTTATTTGATGTATTCATAAGTTAATCATACTGACAGGGAATTCTTTTCTAACGCACCAATAATATTTCTCTCCAACTGCATTCTTTTATCATACAGAGTTATTTGATGTATTCATAAGTTAATCATACTGACAGGGAATTCATTTTCTAACGCACCAATAATATTTCTCTCCAACTGCATTCGTTTGTTATACAGAGTTATTTGATGTATTCATAAGTTAACCATACTGACAGAGGAATCATTCCTAGAAACCAATAATATTTCTCTCCAATTTTTGACTTTTATCATACAGAGTTATTTGACGTATTCATAAGTTAACCATACTGACAGGGAAATCATTTCTAGCACACCTAAATATTTCTCCAATTTTAGACGTTGTTATACAGGTATTTAATATAATCATAAGTAAACCATATCTCTCAAATTTTAGACTTTTATCATACAGATATTTGACATATTCATAAAAAACCATGTTGACAAGGGAAATCATTTCTAGCACACCCAACATATTTCTCTCCAATTTTAGACTTTTATCATACAGGTATTTGACATATTCATAAGTAAACCATGTTGACAGGGAAATCATTCCTAGCACACTTAACATATTTCTCTCCAATTTTAGACGTTTGTTATACAGGTATTTGAAGTAAGTAAACCATGTTGACAAGGAAATCATTCCTAGAATACCTAACATATTTCTCTCCAATTTTAGACTTTTATCTTACAGGTATTTGACATATTCATAAGTAAACCATGTTGACAGGGAAATCATTCCTAGCACACCTAACATATTTCTCTCCAATTTTAGACTTTTATCATACAGGTATTTGACATATTCATAAGTAAACCATGTTGACAGGGAAATCATTCCTAGCACACTTAACATATTTCTCTCCAATTTTAGACTTTTATCATACAGGTATTTGACATATTCATAAGTAAACCATGTTGACAGGGAAATCATTCCTAGCACACTTAACATATTTCTCTCCAATTTTAGACGTTTGTTATACAGGTATTTGAAGTAAGTAAACCATGTTGACAAGGAAATCATTCCTAGAATACCTAACATATTTCTCTCCAATTTTAGACTTTTATCTTACAGGTATTTGACATATTCATAAGTAAACCATGTTGACAGGGAAATCATTCCTAGCACACCTAACATATTTCTCTCCAATTTTAGACGTTTGTTATACAGGTATTTAATATAATCATAAGTAAACCATATATCTCTCAAATTTTAGACTTTTATCATACAGATATTGGACATATTCATAAAAAAACCATGTTGACAAGGAAATCATTTCTAGCACACCCAACATATTTCTCTCCAATTTTAGACTTTTATCATACAGGTATTTGACATATTCATAAGTAAACCATGTTGACAGGGAAATCATTCCTAGCACACCTAACATATTTCTCTCCAATTTTAGACGTTTGTTATACAGGTATTTAATATAATCATAAGTAAACCATATATCTCTCAAATTTTAGACATTTATCATACAGATATTGGACATATTCATAAAAAAACCATGTTGACAAGGAAATCATTTCTAGCACACCCAACATATTTCTCTCCAATTTTAGACTTTTATCATACAGGTATTTGACATATTCATAAGTAAACCATGTTGACAAGGAAATCATTCCTAGCACACCTAACATATTTCTCTCCAATTTTAGACTTTTATCATACAGGTATTTGACATATTCATAAGTAAACCATGTTGACAGGGAAATCATTCCTAGCACACCTAACATATTTCTCTCCAATTTTAGACGTTTGTTATACAGGTAGTTAATATAATCATAAGTAAACCATATATCTCTCCAATTTTAGACTTTTATCATACAGGTATTTGACATATTCATAAGTAAACCATGTTGACAGGGAAATCATTCCTAGCATACCTAACATATTTCTCTCCAATTTTAGACTTTTATCATACAGGTATTTGACATATTCATAAGTAAACCATGTTGACAGGGAAATCATTCCTAGCACACCTAACATATTTCTCTCCAATTTTAGACTTTTATCATACAGGTATTTGATATATTCATAAGTAAACCATGTTGACAGGGAAATCATTCCTAGCACACTTAACATATTTCTCTCCAATTTTAGACGTTTGTTATGCAGGTATTTGAAGTAAGTAAACCATGTTGACAAGGAAATCATTCCTAGCACACTTAACATATTTCTCTCCAATTTTAGACTTTTATCATACAGGTATTTGATATAATCATAAGTAAACCATGTATCTCTCAAATTTTAGACTTTTATCATACAGATATTTGATATATTGATATACTGGGAATTCTTTTCTAACGCACCAATAATATTTCTCTCCAACTGCATTCTTTTATCATACAGAATTATTTGATGTATTCATAAGTTAATCATTCTGACAGGGAATTCTTTTCTAACGCACCAGTAATATTTCTCTCCAATTGTATTCTTTTTTTATACAGAGTTATCCGATGTATTCATAAGTTAATCATACTGACAGGGAATTCTTTTCTAACGCACCAATAATACTTCTCTCGAACTGCAATCTTTTATAATACAGAGTAATGTGATGTACGCATAAGTTATTCATACTGTCAGGGAATTCTTTTCTCTTTACCTTAATTCTTTTATCATACAGAGATATCTGATGTATTCATAAGGTAATCATACTGTCAGGGAATTCTTTTCTAACGTACCAATAATACTTCTCTCCAACTGAATTCTTTTATCATACAGAGTTATGTGATGTATTCATAAGTTATTCATACTGTCAGGGAATTCTTTTCTAACGCACCAATAATACTTCTCTCGAACTGCAATCTTTTATAATACAGAGTTATGTGAAGTATTCATAAGTTGTTCATACTGTCAGGGAATTCTTTTCTAACGCACCAATAATATTTCTCTCCAACTGCATTCTTTTATCATTCAGAGTTATTTGATGTATTCATAAGTTAATCATACTGTCAGGGAATTCTTTTCTAACGCACCAATAATATTTCTCTCCAACTGCATTCTTTTATTATACAGAGTTATCTGATGTATTCATAATGTAATCATACTGACAGGGAATTCTTTTCTAACGCACCAATAATATTTGTCTCCAACTGCATTCTTTTATCATACAGATTTATCTGATGTATTCATAAGTTAATCATACTGACAAGGAATTCTTTTCTAACGCACCAATAATATTTCTCTCCAACTGCATTCTTATCTTATACAGAGTTATCTGATGTATTCATAAGTTAATCATACTGACAGGGAATTCTTTTCTAACGCACCAATAATACTTCTCTCGAACTGCAATCTTTTATAATACAGAGTAATGTGATGTACGCATAAGTTATTCATACTGTCAGGGAATTCTTTTCTAACGCACCAATAATATTTCTCTCCAACTGCATTCTTTTATCATTCAGAGTTATTTGATGTATTCATAAGTTAATCATACTGTCAGGGAATTCTTTTCTAACGCACCAATAATACTTCTCTCCAACTGCAATCTTTTATAATACAGAGTTATGTGATGTATTCATAAGTTAATAATACTGTCAGGGAATTCTTTTCTAACGCACCAATAATACTTCTCTCCAACTGCAATCTTTTATAATACAGAGTTATTTGATGTATTCATAAGTTAATCATACTGTCAGGGAATTCTTTTCTAACGCACCAATAATACTTCTCTCCAACTGCATTCTTTTATCATACAGAGTTATCTGATGTATTCATAAGCTAATCATACTGTCAGGGAATTCTTTTCTAACGCACCAATAATACTTCTCTCCAACTGCATTCTTTTCTTATACAGAGTTATCTGATGTATTCATAAGTTAATCATACTGACAAGGAATTCTTTTCTAACGCACCAATAATATTTCTCTCCAACTGCATTCTTTTCTTATACAGAGTTATCTGATGTATTCATAAGTTAATCATACTGACAGGGAATTCTTTTCTAACGCACCAATAATACTTCTCTCGAACTGCAATCTTTTATAATACAGAGTAATGTGATGTACGCATAAGTTATTCATACTGTCAGGGAATTCTTTTCTAACGCTCCAATAATATTTCTCTCCAACTGCATTCTTTTATCATAAAGAGTTATTTGATGTATTCATAAGTTAATCATACTGACAGGGAATTCTTTTCTGACGCACCAATAATATTTCTCTCCAACTGCATTCTTTTATCATACAGAGTTATTTGATGTATTCATAAGTTAATCATACTGACAGGGAATTCTTTTCTAACGCACCAATAATTTTTCTCTCGAACTGCAATCTTTTATAATACAGAGTTATGTGATGTATTCATAAGTTATTCATACTGTCAGGGAATTCTTTTCTAACGCACCAATAATATTTCTCTCCAACTGCATTCTTTTATCATACAGAGTTATTTTATAAATTCATAAGTTAACCATGTTGACAAGGAAATCATTTCTAGCACACCCAACATGTTTCTCTCCAGTATTAGACGTTTGTTATACAGTTATTTGATATAATCATATGTAAACCATATATCTCTCAAATTTTAGACATTTATCATACAGATATTGGACATATTCATAAAAAAACCATGTTGACAAGGAAATTATTTCTAGCACACCCAACATGTTTCTCTCCAGTATTAGACGTTTGTTATACAGGTATTTGATATAATCATATGTAAACCATATATCTCTCAAATTTTAGACTTTTATCATACAGATATTTGATATATTCATAAGTAAACCATGTTGATAGGGAAATCATTCCTAGCACACCCAACATATTTCTCTCCAATTTTAGACGTTTGTTATACAGGTATTTGATATAATCATAAGTAAACCATGTTGACAGGGAAATTTGTTATACAGGTATTTGATATAATCATAAGTAAACCATGTTGACAAGGAAATCATTCCTAGCACACCTAACATTTTTCTCTCCAATTTTAGACTTTTATCATACAGATATTTGATATATTCATAAGTAAACCATGTTGATAGGGAAATCATTCCTAGCACACCCAACATATTTCTCTCCAATATTAGACGTTTGTTATACAGGTATTTGATATAATCATAAGTAAACCATGTTGACAAGGAAATCATTCCTAGCACACCCAACATATTTCTTTCCAATTTTACACTTTTATCATACAGATTTGATTTATTCATAAGTAAACCATGTTGACAAGGAAATCATTCCTAGCACACCCAACATATTTCTCTCCAATTTTAGACTTTTTTCATACAGATATTTGATATATTCAAAAATTAACCATGTTGACAGGGAAATCATTCCTAGCACACCCAACATATTTCTCTCCAATTTTAGACGTTTGTTATACAGGTATTTGATATAATCATAAGTAAACCATATATCTCTCAAATTTTAGACTTTTATCATACAGATATTTGATATATTCATAAGTAAACCATGTTGATAGGGAAATCATTCCTAGCACACCCAACATATTTCTCTCCAATATTAGACGTTTGTTATACAGGTATTTGATATAATCATAAGTAAACCATGTTGACAGGGAAATCATTCCTAGCACACCCAACATATTTCTCTCCAATTTTAGACGTTTGTTATACAGGTATTTGATATAATCATAAGTAAACCATGTATCTCTCAAATTTTAGACTTTTATCATACAGATATTTGATATATTCATAAGTAAACCATGTTGATAGGGAAATCATTCCTAGCACACCCAACATATTTTTCTCCAATTTTAGACTTTTGTTATATCAGGTATTTGATATAATCATAAGTAAACCATGTTGACAAGGGAAATCATTCCTAGCACACCCAACATATTTCTTTCCAATTTTACACTTTTATCATACACATTTGATTTATTCATAACTAAACCATGTTGACAAGGAAATCATTCCTAGCACACCCAACATGTTTCTCTCCAATATTAGACGTTTGTTATACAGGTATTTGATATAATCATATGTAAACCATATATCTCTCAAATTTTAGATTTTTATCATACAGATATTGGACATATTCATAACTAAACCATGTTGACAAGGAAATCATTTCTAGCACACCCAACATGTTTCTCTCCAATATTAGACGTTTGTTTTATAATAATAAGTAAACCATATATCTCTCAAATTTTAGACTTTTATCATACAGATATTTGATATATTCATAAGTAAACCATGTTGATAGGGAAATCATTCCTAGCACACCCAACATATTTCTTTCCAATTTTAGACTTTTATCATACAGATATTTGATATATTCATAAGTAAACCATGTTGATAGGGAAATCATTCCTAGCACACCCAACATATTTCTTTCCAATTTAAGACTTTTATCATACAGATATTTGATATATTTATTAGTAAACCATGTTAACAGGGAAATCATTCCTAGCACACCCAACATATTTCTTTCCAATTTTAGACTTTTATCATACAGATATTTGATATATTCATAAGTAAACCATGTTGATAGGGAAAACATTCCTAGCACACCCAAAATGTTTCTCTTGTTGTTATACAGGTATTTGATATAATCATAAGTAAACCATATATCTCTCAAATTTTAGACTTTTATCATACAGATATTTGATATATTCATAAGTAAACCATGTTGATAGGGAAATCATTCCTAGCACACCCAACATATTTCTTTCCAATTTTAGACTTTTATCATACAGATATTTGATATATTCATAAGTAAACCATGTTTACAGGGAAATCATTTCTAGCACACCCAACATATTTCTCTCCAATTTTAGACGTTTGTTATACAGGTATTTGATATTATCATAAGTAAACCATATATCTCTCAAATTTTAGACTTTTATCATACAGATATTTGATATATTCATAAGTAAACCATGTTGATAGGGAAATCATTCCTAGCACACCCAACATATTTCTGTCCAATTTTAGACTTTTATCATACAGATATTTGATATATTCATAAGTTAACCATGTTGACAGGGAAATCATTCCTAGCACACCCAACATATTTCTGTCCAATTTTAGACTTTTATCATACAGATATTTGATATATTCATTAGTAAACCACGTTAACAGGGAAATCATTCCTAGCACACCCAACATGTATACAGGTATTTGATAAATTCATAAGTAAATTATATTTCTGTCCAATTTTACTGTTTTATCAAACAAATATTAGATATATTCATAAGTAAACCATGTCGACAGGGAAATTTTTCCTAACACCAAACTTATTTTTCTCCAATATTAGACTTTTATCGTACAGATATTTGATTATATTCATAGCTAAGCCATAATGACAGGGAACTCCCTTCTAATATACCTTGCGTATTCATATTATTTAAATTATCGATTTGTCGATTAATAAAATTTTGAGTAAATTATGTTTTCAGATTACTGTATAATTTAAACGCAAATTAAAATTCATGGCGGGATACCACATATTTTAAAATTGTTTTTTTTTATCTCTTTAAAGTTATTCAAAATTATATTATCTTAAAACGGAATTCTTTTGGGACACATTCCTATTATTAATATCTATTTTTCATTTTAAATGTATTTATCATTTTTGATACATTTATTTAACAGATAGACCCTTCTGAAATTATACAAATTTTTAAAAAACAATAAACTTTCAGATTATTATTCTGTTAAACAATTCATTCAGTGGGGAAACCAGTACGAGTTACACGATCTACCTATTAAAATACTTTGTTATTTATTCCAGTCATTCAGAAAACAACGATCTTGAAATGGTATTTTTGTATGGCACACCCTACCCATTTATAAACTTTTATTTTTCTGATGGCACTCACTTATTTAGATTCATAATTTGATTAAGTAAATAAACAGATTTATGATTTTTGTAGAAATAAAAAATTAGATGAACACAAAGTTTAAATATATTTCGATCCTATTATTCAAACACATTCAGTCTATTTATAGTATTATTTTTCAATTGCATCATTACTGGCTTCCAAAATTCAAAAAATTAATAAAAAATTTCCGATTCTTTTTAAATGTAAAATTAAAAAAAACTTGACGAGGAAAAAACGAATAAGACCTACCTATTGAAATACTTTCTATTTATACTAGTTCTCCACAAGTATACAATTTTGTTTCGGGGTTCCTTTAATGCACACTCTACCTACTTCTTTTCTTTCTAATTGGACTTATATTTGACGCATTTAGAGGATTTATATATTCATATTGCCCGGATTTTATTATATAAAACACCCAATATTTTTCATTCAAATTTTATTCTTTGATACAGTTTTTCTGATCTATCCACAAGTATGCCATATTCTAAGGAAGTTCTTTTATAAGACACCCTACCAATTTACCAAACACTCAAATTTTGATTTTAGCCATATTTCGTTTTACCATGTACCATTTCAATCGATTTTTGTTTTTTGTATACCACAATGAAAAGGGCATTTTTTTATAACACACATTTTTTATAAATACCAAATAAATTTCACAAGGGGATACCGTATACTAATGAGTCCTACCTATCAAATTTCGTAATTTTTTACGCAAAGACAATTCTTTTATAACAGACCATACCTATTTGCATTCACTCAATTAAGTTCATTTTGTTTACACCCTTATACATTTTATAAATTCGTTTTATCATGGGGACGGAATATTGTAAATAATATTTCCAGTAGAGGTTATTTCAGTTAAAAATTTTCACCTTTCATTTATATTTTTGAATGCATTCATTGGTTTATACACACCCAACAGAGTTATATGTTCTCAAGTATATTCTTTTGTCATCGACTTTTAGACGTTTCTTTATGTATTTATGCGCGTACCATATTGCAGGGATATTATATTAAGCATCCAACCATTTTCAATTCAATTTCAATTTTTGTATCAAATATTTTTCGAAATAGATATTTATAAGCACACCATTGCAATTCTTTTATTAGAGTCCCTACCTGTTTTTTTACACACTCATTATTATAATTCATTTTACCAAACCCAATCCATTTTTATGTACACTATCATTAAAGGTAATTCATTTATAACACACCATAGGTATTCATCTTCGTTCAATTGCATTCATTAAAACATTGCGACTGAGTCGTTTTGATTTATAATATTTGAAGTGAACCGTTAAGGTCGTACCTAAGACATCACATAATTTTATTTGTTCATTTGAATTCATTTTCTTTTATACTTCCTAGATTTATACATGTTATTATTTACATTCAGTTGATCAGGGGAATGGAATCTTTTCAATTTATAAAATTTCAAGTAAACGGATATTTCAGTTATATATTTTCCCATGCGTTCATTTATAATTTTTCCAATTGCTCTTATTGATTTATACACATCCAAGAAAATTATACATTTTCCATTGCATTCTTCTAGTATAAACGTTTCTTTGTGAATTTTTACGTCCAACATTTACATTGGAAGAACCCTAGACTTTTTCATTTCATTTTCTAATAAAACCATATGTACACCATATTCGGAGTCGTTTTATAACATGCGTACCTACTTTTACACACCCAAAATATAATTATTACATATATTATTTATAGCACACCATAAATATTCATTTTAATATTGAGAATGGGTCGTTTGGTTTCTAATGTTTGGAATAAGACCACCTATTTTATATAGATAAGGGGATACCGTATATTTGAGACGTAATACGTTTCGTTTTATTTCACACAAATACGCAATCCTGAATGGCAATTCCTACCTATTGGTATTTATTTAATTATCATCTTTTACCTACCCAAGGTTTGTATTTTTTTATAAGTTGCATTCAAATTATACTGGGGACGCAGACTTTTAAAGTTATACTTGGAGTAAATGTTCATTTCAGTTATATATTTCAACTTCGTTCAGTTATATTAGCATTCATTGGTTTATACACACCCGAAAGAGTTATATATTTAAATTGTTCAATTCCAATCAATCAACATTACGTCTGATTCCTTTTAATATAAAATGAAATTTGTAAAGATCCTACCTAGTTTTTAAATTATTATTTATTTAAAAATACCATATAAAATTCATAAGGGAGTCACGCATGTTTTAAATTGTCCTACCTAGCACACCTTTTTTCATGTATAATTAGTAAGACATCTTGACAGGGAATTGTTTAATAACACACTCTACCTGTTTATATTTTCTCAATTGCATTCATCTTTTTAACACACCCACCTTGTTCATATGCTTTTTACATTCGTTTTACCATAGGGACTGAGTCCTTTCGATATGTATTGCTAAAAATGTTTATATCTTTTTTTAATTATATAAAATTTGTTATTTAAAAATATTTATTTGGTTTTAGAATGATATTTTTCTTATCTATAATTCGCTTATAAGAAGTTCTGCTGTCCTAAAAATGGGAAAAATAAAAATGCGTATATACGTACTTTTAAGTTGAACATTTAAACATTCTTTCCAATACAAACTTTTTGTGATCAACAGAGATCAAGGCCCTTCCTTTTTAGGCAGACATTTGGTTCGATTTCTCGATTTGGATAGAGAACATCAGAGTAATTTGTGTTTAAGACGAACACTATTGGCGTGTTGACATTAAGGCCCTTCCTCCGTGGGGATTATTTTGGTAAAGCTACGTTTAAGTTTGGAGATATAACTGAAATCGGATCTAAGCTTGAAATAAAAAATATGGCGAGCAAATGTTTCGAGATTTATTGTTGGAATTTTTGAATTTTTTATTCACTTTTTCTGTGGCTTTTTCATTAAGGAGCTCTTTTGTTATTAATTTTTTCCATTTGTGTTGTGTTACGACAAGTTAATTTACATCAGTATTGATAATTCTTAATTGGCGAAGTGTACAAATCAAAAAAATGTAAACAGTTTCTGGTATTTAAGAACATAAGTGACACATTTTTGGTGTGGAAATAACTTCCGTATTGACTTTACAACTGAATATAAGAACAAAACTAATGTTTATAACCAACTGGTGGGATATTCTACCTCGTTGGTTCATTAACTAATCCGGTATTAATATGCTGCCACGTTTGTCTGCACGCTACGGAATTTGTTCGATGATAGTTAGCAATAGAAGGCCTTTTTGGTAGGGCTCACGTTCACCCTTAGTGGAGCAGAGAAGTCGATACACCAGTGTGTTCCTATAACACAATCCGCACAATCACTCTGACTGAATCGAGCACCCTGGCTGGTCCGCAAACCCAGACATTAGATATATACATATAATCTCAGTCATGGTCACACACACAGACACAGCTTGCGAATAACGCTGCAATCGGGCCGAGTGCATTTTTAGCACCCATATACCGACCCATGCTCGCGCAGAGTATCGACTTTTTCACGGTTCGATATCGATATCAACTTTCAACGCCCAACTATAAAGTTTAGAGAAAGAAATACATATTGCTTGGTTAAGTGGTATGGCAGAGTTGCATTATAGAGAGGTTACAAATAAGATTAACAGCTAGGTAAATGTTAAAACGACTACGAGCTAATTTAGAATGCCAATAGAAGCGAAAGAAACGTGATGAAAAACAACCAGGCTGGAATGTTTTCCATTGGAAAAAACTGTGAACGAGTATGTATCGTTATCGGGGTTTAAGACGTTGGGAAAGGCAAACAACGAGTGCAGAGCTATTTACGCCACAGCAGTTTTTGCGCAGCTGTCGTTGTCATCCAATTACAATTCATCCATACATATGTATGAGGCACTGAATAAAAATGTGTATACCCGAAAGGTAGAGAGATGTTTGTATGTATTTAAACGAGGCGTATGAATACGCTATTTTTAGTGAGAGAGAGAGAGAGACCCAGTGTGTGGCCTTTTAATCCGGGGGTTTCAAACGGAAAGGGGTATTTAAATTCGAGAACTTTCGACTTGGGTACAGGATTGTGAAATACTTAGAAAACATTTATTCTCGGGTTACGCAATACAATGAAATTACAGACACTCGGATACGGCGTTTGAAACGCCTTTCGCCTGGTGATCGATGTGAGGTTATAAACTACATCTTAAGCTTAGGTTGGGCTTACGAATAGAAATAAAACACGCTGGTTTCGCTGCTGTGTATGTATACCTGGCTTCCTATCCCAATTTCTTAACTCCGCAGATCAGGGCCATCGCCTCAGAGATTAGTCACACGCACGGAATTCCTGGATAACTGCCTCAGACTGCCTAGTTGTTCAATTTCTAGCCAAAATCGAGAAAACTGCCTGCTGCCTTGCGAAAATCCCCGTTGCTGTTCAGCAAAATCGATGATAAATTCGCTTCATTCCAGTGAGTCTGGTTTCTTTGTTTCCAAATTGAGAGCAAAATAATGCCCAACGTCGACAAACACTACGTGGGCCCTGGCGTCATTTTGCAATAGTCGTACAGCTGTCCGTCTCCTTCTGCGACACAATTTTTACACTTTTCCATTTTTGGGAACAATTACTGCTTGCAAACTTGCAAGAGTGAAATTTTCTTTATACTAATTAAAACTTTTTTTTTGGCTACACTGCGACTGCACTTGAACACTATTCCTTTGAAAGTGACGTTCTCCGGCCGAGGCAGCTCTATTTATACCCTGCCCTATGGCTTCGTGAAACATCTGCCAGTCTCTCGGCTCTCTGGCGTGGTGGTTGGTGTGAGTAAGGCATACAGCAAATCGGACTACGTGACGCGGCCTGGTTTATCATCAGTTTTTATATCACTATGCTACAAAAACTACCCTCATTTCGTAGAAAATGTTTCTAATCCGGATATAACTGTATTATTTCCTTACTGTGTTCTAGAAACCACCAGTTTCCTCACTTATTACAAATGCTGGAAGGTTTCGGAAAACGAAAATACAAAATGTTTGCTAAAGTATTTAGCTGTATGTATGGATGTATGTATGCATTTGTCCAACGAATCAAGTAAATAAAGTAAATCGAGTCAAAGTAAGTTAGTAAGTTAGTAGTTCGATTAGCGATTAGTTTTTTTTTTGGCATAGATTATAATTATAATTAATAAACTTCGTTTTTTTATAAGCATTAAATGAGTCTTCTGAATGCTTGAAACAAAGTGCTTATCTAAAGGAATGGTTTAATTTGCTGCACAGTGTAAATGAGAATTTTCTAGAGTGAGACCCAAAATATTCCGTTCTCGAGAGAGGGAGAGACTAATTCATATAGTCTTGCGGAGTTGCCATTTCCCATGTGGAATATTCCACAAGGGCTTTCATTAATTTAACCAAAACTTAAACTATTGAAATATTACTCATTTAATTTTAAGAATACAAGTTACTTGTTTTATATTAGTTAGAGAAAATATACACCAATTTATTATTATTATTATTTACGTAGTTTCATAACGTAAGATACTTGTCAAATATAATTGTCAAAATAATAGTACCTAAAACGGCCACTTCTTTGATGTAAGTAAAAGGCGCTGCAGGTCAAGTAAAATTAAAATGCGCCTTTTATCGATACTTTGTGAATTCCCCAATTAAAAGAGTAAATTGGATATTTACAAGAATCTATGAATCTTTTTACAATTATCTGAATAAACCAAGTAAATATTAAAAATATGTTTATAAATAACTACTAAAAATTTTTAAAATAAACAACAAGTCCATTAAATCGCCAGCTGCTTGAATTTATTCCCAGGCCTACCTTACCAGATCCGGTTTATGTCGCTCTACCTACTTTGTCATTGAACCCCTTCTTAAGATGTCTATGGTGCTGACTTCAAATGGGGTAGAAACCACCCCTAATTTTCTTCAGTGTATGCTGCCGAGTAGCGAAATGTTTGCTAGTGCTGAACCAAACACAAGGTTTTTGAACCTTTGGCCGCTGGCAGAGCAGGAAAGCCAGCTGTTGCAAACGCACGCGCATCCTGTGCTCAAACGACCTCGGGGGTGGGTTGACTCCGTCGATAAAAGGGAAAGAGAGAGACGGTGACTAAATGAGTGATTGAGTGAGTTACTCTCCGAGTGAGTTCCTGCTCATCCTTGAGCAACAGAGTGCTCCGTTTCGAGCGCCAACTAAATGCTAACGAGCTGAGCTGCGAAACTTGAAAACTGCCATTAAACTTCAAACAAAAAGTATGCAAAGTTTGGATTATTTCGTATCGGTCGACAGAGATTTAATTGCCGACCCAGCTTAAGCAATGTCCGGAGTGTTGCGGAAGGATCTGCATGTTCCGCAATAAAGCCAAGTTGCTGGCGGACAACAACAATTGCGAGAAAAAGACACATAATCATAAACAAACGGACAGGCAAAAGCAATTGACACGAGCAACAAAAGCGTCATGATAATAGAGGCAGCACGGAAATTGCGTATACACCGTGTGTTCCTCTTGTTGCTCTCGGTTTTGTTTTGTTTCCTGCCGCAAGCTGGCACGCAACAAACAATGGCCAGAAGTCAAATGGCATAATAAACGTATTTATGAAGGGGGCCTGAAATGAGCATACGACGAATATGAATCTCAAACCAAAAAATGGAGGTGTGGTTGTGCTCAGGATATGCAGCCTCCCACACGGTCGCCCTGACATTTCAACGATCCAACCTTGGATATTGCCAAATGTGGTCCTTCAGTTTTAAGCCTACAAAGTTGTGCGCTAAGCCTGCGAAAAGTACGGAACGGGAACGGTAGAAAACTACGGGCATAAACATATAGGAGAGTTCTGTCATTGCATTTGAGGGCCGTTGGTTCAGCGCTCACCGAGTACAGAGTACATAGGCGACAAGGACGACCGAGCGAACGAACGCCCGAGTGGGTGGCGCAGCACAAGCCCACTCCTTCTATCAGTCCGAATCCGATTCCGAATCCAAGAGACGAAGCCAAGACAGTGGCAACTGAAAGCGGGCGCGGTTAGGCAACAGGGACCTACATTTAGTCGTATCCTGTCCGTCGGCTCTTATCGGCTCGATTTGGCCTGAAAAACGAGCTGCCGTGGCCGCAGTGCCAGCAGTCCTCATTCAGACGCGAATCCGTTGACAACGCGGTCGCCCCAGGGGCGGATGACTATATCCATTCTAGCGTACGGTGGATCGGCGACCCACAACATCGCTTTACGGAAACGACCACGCGTAGTGTTAACCTTTCGAGTGTTCATGTCCTGCTGATTTATCCGGGGGAGTGTTTGTGTTTGCTTTTGCTTTTTCGCTGTCCACCTGCAGGTGTGGGAGTTTCGTTTGACCAGTTCTCCTCCAGGAATTGCAACTGTTTTAAGGGGTATCCAACTCGGACAGTTTAATTAGTTTGCCCATCATGCTATGGCTGATTTGTCAGCCCCTCGGTGTTGACACTTGGTCTTACGCCCCATTGCGCCGCGGGGCCCAAGTCTAAGGACTATATCGGCAATGGCATCTCCAGCGAGATGGCCAGCAGGCATGTAAGCTCAATTAGCTCCCAAGCACTTTTACGCTCGAAAAGGGAGCCCAAACCAATTGCGAAAGGAACACTAAGTGCGGAGATACACGGCAAAAAGTCATCTTTTTTAAACTTAAACTGATTGCACTGCTTTGCAAATATCAATGCAGTGTTTTTAGTCATTTGTTTCTTATTATTTCTTATAATTGCTTATTCAGAAAATACAATTTTATTCAGAACTTTTCGTATTGATATTATATGTATTTTATCATGAATAATAATAATAACAATCACATACAAGCACTATGCCATTTAAAATTATTTTTTATAAAATAAATAAATAAATAATAAATATTTTTCAACAAAGTTTTAAATTTGGTTTTAGTGAGAGATTTGATTTTTAATCAAATTTAATTCATTCAATCCGCTTTTCATGATCCGCTTTTATAATCCTTATACGATATTAATATATTCAATAAATAATCAGAAACTTAAGACTTAGGATAATACCTACCTTCTGCAGGTTTTCAAAAGTTTTATAGCCTGAAGGCGAAACTAAAATTATCTTTTAATAAAAACTTATAAAATTAGGCACCAAATATGGAAGAGAGAGAAATGGTTCTTAGTGAGATTTATTTTTATTTAAGTTCCCCTTTCTTAAGCCTAACCTAACTTAATGTAGTATAAAAGAAATATCCCATTGACATCCGAGAAACATCAATTTTTTTGCGGTGCCTGGACAGTTTGAATTGTGTGCCGAGGGGCCCTTAGTCGCCAGTTTGTCTGATGTAGACACTCCCATGGAGCCGCACAAAAGAATGTCGGACTGGCTTCGTTTGTTACCAATTGTTTCAATGCTTACTGGCAATTTTTGGCACTCAATCGAAGAGTGCTGCGTGCGCTTGGCAGTTGTGCTTAATGGAATTTTTATGCGATGCTATTGAGTTGCTCAATTGCTCGTTGGCTCGATGTTTGTTTGTCGATTTTTTTGAGGTCAAAGTGCACGCTCCATACCGTTTTCAATTGTGCCAAAAACAGCAGCCAAACAATGGCAAAAATGGCATTAAAATTAATTAGCGACGCGCATGTGTTGGAACTGCGGCTGTGACCATGTCCCTGAGCCCAGTCTCTCGGTTCTTCCGATGGCCGATCCCCTCCAGCAGCATTTATCCAGGCACCCAGCATTTGGCCTTATCTGAAATATGCACACGAGGCCTTGGGCCGCCGACTTTTTCGTAATGCCAGCCAAGGCAACGTCAACCAGCTGACGAACGACCCAGCCATTTCATTTCGCACTCGGATTCGTATCCGAAATGGCAACAAACTGTTGTAGGTGATTTCCCAGAATAAAAAAAATATATATCTTAAAAAAACCTTGGGCGTTATAAAGCGAGTTGGTAGATAATTGCATTTGTTGTGCAACTTCGGGGCACAAACACAACCCCCAGATAAAAGTTTAAAGAGACATTGTGGGACGTGAGTGTTAATTAAAAACTACTGTCTAATCCAAAAGCCACGAAACTTCCTGCATATCCTACACAAGCCAACGAAATGCCAAGTGACGATGCCATTTTTATAGACCTTTTCTAAAAACAACCGCCATACAAGTAAAGATAGCGAAATCGAGGCGCCAGTGAAAGTGCCATCCGCCCAATCAAGACGGCCGGATGATGGCAGCCAGCGGTCGGATTCGCAAGCGAAAGCATAAAAGCCACCCAAGTGGCGACATTCCCAGTACGACTAGTATGCCAACAACAATGGCGCCTGGCAAAATCGAGGAGACAATGGAGGAAGCCGCCCTCGCCGGGGATTATAATAATTTCACGCATAATTTCGTCGATTTGCAGAACCTCTTGAGTTTCAACGAATTGAATGGCAGTAGCAATAGCATCAGCAGCAGCAGTAGCATCTCATCGAGCGGATCGAGTGCCATTAAACTGAGTAACGGCCCCATTACGGACACTCTGTTGGGCACGGTTTTGACCACGGCTACGGCCACCGTTGCTCCGGCGGCCAGTTCGCTGATAGCCACCTTGGCGGCCACCACAACAGCCTCTGCGAGGGGATCTGTGGCTAGCAAGTCGCTGGCCATTGCCGATGCCACCTCATCCACCTACTATGCCAACTTGCTGAATCTGTCGCCGGCCACCACCAGCTTGATCTCAGCGGCAGCGGCAACCAAGTCATACAACGATAGCGTCCTCCGGTGGGAGCAGTTGGATGGGAGCGTGGATTTCGGATTCGATCCACTGTATCGCCACTCGCTAGCTATGTCCATGGTCTACTGTGTGGCCTACATCATGGTCTTCCTGGTGGGCCTCATTGGGAACAGCTTCGTGATTGCCGTCGTCCTGCGGGCGCCTCGAATGCGTACGGTTACGAACTACTTCATTGTGAATCTGGTGGGTGGTCCTCCGTAAATCACACAGAAGAAACCCTATTAATTTGAAAATATAATTTACATTCCCCCAACCAAAGGCCATTGCGGACATCCTGGTCATTGTCTTCTGCCTGCCAGCCACTCTGATTGGCAACATCTTTGTGCGTAAGTATCTCTTTAATTCCATAAGAAGCAGACCAAGACGACGACGACTAAGACGAGATTTATATTCCACTTGGGGGCACATTAGGGAGAAGCCTGAGTTTTTCTGTTGGTTCTGCATATTAGCCGGATTTATTTCCTGCAATTAATCGCCGCTTAGATAAAGCCTTGCCAAACGGCATTGCCGAAAGTTGTTGCTTCTGCGTGTTTACGCTGCGTATGCGTAATGTTCTTGATACGTACGAAAGAACAAATGTAATGGGCCCTCATTAGACCTAATGTTGGCATAAATGTCCGAGCAATAAAAGCTTAGCTTTTTCAACAGTCAGTGGTAAAAACCAATACCACTGTGCTGGACGTGCTTACTCTTGAAAGATAAATTTATTTTGAAACTGCATCTCATATAGCAGACCCGTTGACGTCCTCCGATTTTTTAGTACATGCATAAAAGGGGATGTAGAATGCAGCTCATGATTTGAAGTTGCCTGGAAAATTTCTAATTTAAGTACCGAATTTTAATAGCTTTCTGAAATGAACAACGTAAATTTTAAGATATAGATGGACGAGCCAAGAACAAGTTCTTAATTAAATAAAGGCAGCAAAAAACCTGCACATGCTGAAAAAATAAACCAGAAAGGCCAAGAACAGGCCGTATTTATTCAACAGTTACCAAATCACCTTAACAACGAGAAGATGTTAGGAAGATGTACTCAATTAAATTAATTTGCAATGGGTAACTTGCCCTGGGAACCCTTACCTTCTTGGAACAGACAATCCGCCAGTGCCCAAGTACAAGTGTCTATTTAATTAAAGGCCAATTCCAAATCCCAGCGACGACCCACAAACGACCCGATAAACGAGGCTACGCATAATTGTATGCTTTAATTTAAATAAATTTGCCTGACATGCCTATCCATCCATCCATCTATCTATCTTTCTGTCCCTTTCTGCTGCCATACACCCTCAATCGTATTCTCTCTCGCGTTTTCCCCGATTCCATTAGAATTTGTGGGCTGACATCCAAATTGATAGTCGCAGACCTGGCCAAGAAGGTGAGCAGTGTGGCAAATGTCTATGCAAATCGCCGTCGACATGGAAAAATGATCGAAATCCTTGGTAAATCAAATTCCGATTGTGGAGCACGCCATGCAGGTTCCATCCTCCACTGCAATTCGCCTTCGGTGGCTACCCCAATCCCAAGTCCCAAAACCCAGTGCCAGTTCGTAGGCTCGCAGGCTCTGCTGGGCCAAGTGTTGCCAATTAAGTGCCTCTGCCCTGTGAGAACTCTCTTTCTCTTGTTGCTATTCTCGTTGATACACTGTGAAAATAACAAAAAAACTGTTCCTTATTCTGATTCTGATATTTTATTTAAATAATCTTTTTAGACATTGTGACTTTTAATTGCATTTCTTCAACGACATTTCTCAGAAAGATTCTCGTATATTTTAGGTTCATATAATCTTAAGATGTTTATCAGTTTATAAGATGTTGGTAGATTTAATTATCTGTGTAGCTTGACTCCAAGACTTGGCACTGCACTCGGGCCCAGCCCTTTCTGCCCACAGAAAAACGCCCACTTTGGGGGAAATGTAGTAAACGAAGGCTGCCGAGTGAAAATCGCAAGGAACGAATGAAGCGAGTGGCGAAAAAGTGAATGAGTTTACCTCAGCCTGCATTGTGTGTCTGTGTCACTGCGCACTCTCTCCGCTTTCTCTCTGTCTCTAGCTTTCTCTCTTCCTATGTATGTATTTACTCTCATCTGTGCATGTGTTAGTGCATTTGTTGCTGCTTTTCGGGGTGGCCCAAAGGATCATCGACACAAAACTGACCTAATTTCACAAATTCAAGCTAGGCGCAGGGCCGACAGCTCTTAGTGGGTCACTGGGGGTGGTGGGCGGCTGATGGTTAGTGGTTGGGACACCCTTTAGCCACCCTGCGCCAACCTCCAGCTTTTTGCTTGGCATGTCTTGAGTTGGGCTCAGCCGTTGAGGCCTAAGCAAAAAACGCCAGTCACAACAAATTGCAGCCCTCCCGCTGGCATTGGGGCATTTGGGGTGGCGGATTCACCACTTTACCCCTTCAACTCTCAACCCCACTCACATTCCTATTCACTTTCGACAAGCTGCTGAAGTTTAAATCGAAGGCAGCGAGTTCACAGCGACAACGGACGAAATTGCGACCATGCAGGGTAAAAAACATTGTTATGAAGAAATAGCATACTAGGAAAAGGATTTCTGTTTATAAAGGCAATAAAATTACATACTTTTATGGTCTTAAGCAAAACTATGATTTTCTTATTTATAAAGATGTGATAAGAAAATTTATAATAATAACAAAAATTCTTAGAAAGTATTTGTTAAGCAGAAAATATTTTATTAAAAAAAACGTTCCATGCTGCATCTTTAAATCATAATACTACATTTAGATATCAATATTCTTTAAAGTTGTAAATATACGTTAGCCAAGTAAATTCAAATCGCGTTTAAAAGAGCATATAATTTGAAAATTAATCATTTCGTCAGCGCTTTAATTTCTTATTTCTAACTAATAATATTAACTAACTAATGTTTGCTCGCTTAAAAGTAGGCAACGATATTTTCAAACTGTCGGCGTGTTTTCTCGATTTTCAAAAATGTAATCTCTGGTAATAAAAATTGAACCAAGAAAACATTTCTTTCGAAATTCCAGAACTTTTACTTGGTATGTAATTCGGATTCAATGAGAAACTTGTGGCAAAACCAAACCATGTTTTATCTTAAGCATTGCTCTTTTATGTTACTTTTTATCTTTATTATGCCATTATCTTTCTGCTTTGAACTTCGACAGCCAGTTTTCTCTTTGTGTACAGGACTATGCGTGGGAGTTAGGAAGTTTGGCATATTTGCACATCGAACATTGCACGTTGCTGTCTGATAGTTTTCACGATTTCACCCCAAACGGGTGGGGAAAATGAGAGGGGTGGTCGCCATGTTTTGCCATCAAACTGAATTATATGAAATCAAATTCGAGCCGTCAAAGACGACGGAGACGTCGGCGTCGCAGTCAGAGTTAGCGTCGCAGTCAACGTTGGCAGCGACGCCCACGGTGGCCATCGCCGCTGGCAGCGCCATTATCTAAGCACACCTTCAAGCCTCAGAATTGCAATGGAAGGTTGTTTGCATTCAAGGCTCTTTGCGGCTGGATGAATTGACCTAAATATTTCGCTTGGCAAACCTAATAGTCAGGGTTATACACACACGAGTGTGTTTTTGTATGTGTATGTGTGTGTGGAGTGGGGGCACCTGTATTGGGTTGGGCCTGTACTGTTTGTGGGTGGGTGTTGTGTGGGTGTGAGTGGGTGGAATGTGGCGCTAGCCCTTATTTATGTGGGTGCTTCGAAATCCAATAAAATGCGAAATGAATTGATTTCCCAGCAACGATGCCGCCTTGAGACGAAGGATATCCTTGCAACAGCAACGGCAATTGTCCCAAATGGCGCTTTATGGCTATTGTTGTGCCATTTTATCAATGGTAAATCGTTATCATTACGGTCCCTTTTTAGATCCGCATCCTCTTGGTTATCGAATCTGTAAGTCACGTTGCCAGTTTGTTCATTAAGGGGGCCACGTGATTTGTGCCGGGCGAACGCGGCGTATGCTTAACGCCGCGCAAGACTCTCCATTCCCTTTATTCCCTTACCCTGATGAAGTCATTTTTCAGCACTCTCTGCTCGGCGATTGTATTTTAATTTAGTCTCTACGTGCCCTCGGCAAATGGAATCTAACCTCTGACCTCTCCGCCAACGATCTGCAGCCTCATCTCAGCTCCAGCAAATCCCATATCTCACCTCGAGGTTCCCCTGATTCCTTTTGCAAGTCCCACTCACATTGCTGGGCAACTGGCTGTGGTATTCAATTTGCCGACGAGCTGCCACAGAAGTCGCCGCAGGACGTGACGCCGCGGCGATAATCATAACAATAACGCAGTTGCCAGAAGTGTTATGTTATGCCTTTTCCATGGCCACTCCACGCCCACTCCAATCGAACCTGCGGATTTGTCACGCCCGATTATTTCATTAACTTTACGACCCAACTCCGTGCATGACAATGCCGCCACCGAAACGAATCCGAAGTTTTCAAATTAATCCAATCCACTTTCCCTAAACAGAGGGAATAAAGATTTGCAAATGATGTGATAAAAAATGTTTGAACATATCTATTAGCCCTTATTAAAGATTCATATTTCATGCTAAAAAGAAATAAAACCACAAAACTTCGTTTTAGCAACTTTAAGTTAATGTTTTGGGAACCTAAGACTTGACTTAATAACTAAATAAGCATGCTTACCAAGGAGGTTTTGTTTTATAGAAACCACCTTTTTATAAAATATTAAACCAAACATAATAAAACCAAGTTATGCTACTAAAAATGGCAATCAAACCAAGCCTTACGTATTTTCTTCTTGTGTTTAAACCAAAAAACAAAAGCTCTCCCAAGAAAAGAGGGTAAGAGGCTAAAAAATAAAAGGCTTAGAGCTCACTTGACATTTTCTTAAGGGTTGGAGGAAGGAGGGCCCACCAACCGCACCGCCCACAATCGAAGGCTCTCGATAAGCCCGAATATCGATTTGTGTTATCTCCTGTAGTTGATCAATATTGAGCACCAGCTTACGGTTATAAATGGAGGCGTCTGTTTGCCATATGTTGCCATGTCAAACACACTCCAAGTCGGATCAGACACCCATCCTTCTCACCTTGGCGCGGGAAGCTGGATGTTTGGCGTGCAAGTCGTGGAGTGTTTGGTTTCACTTGAGGCCACAAATTGGTAATGCCACAAGCAGTTTCAGGGTCGCAGCGACACGCGAGTCAATTAAGGCTATTTCGGTACCTTCAATTATGTTTGTACAACACATTAATGAAGCCTAAAAGTTGGGACATTAATTATGGTTTTGTTCGTTATGTATGGCTGTGTTCTTTTTCGGGCTGTCCTGCAGTTTCTAAAAATACCCACACAGCATATAACCTTTGAATACAAAGTCAATTTTTTTATATAGTCAACAATAATACGTTTTTTTTAGTTTTTCATATTATTTAATGGTGCCCTTCAACTTCCTAAAAATAACGAACTTCACAAATGCAAATTATTGACATTTTTTAAGCCCGATATATTTTTGCGGTTCATTAGCTATTCATTATTCTGAGGGTCACAATAAAAGTTCAATTTTTCCTTCCTCTATAAAAACTTAATTTCAAATGTCAAATTATCTTGTCAGCATTTTTCTTTACTGTTCCCCTTTTAAATAAATTTCCCGATAAAGCGAGTTAAACAACAAATTGATATGTAAATATTTTTCAATGTTTCAATCTGTCCACATTAATTCGGTGTTTACAATAAAAACCATTGTTTGCCTGGGATTATCGAAAAGTCACTTCACTTTGCTGAACTGCGCATAATAAAAACTTGGTAAAGACACTTGACTGCCTGAGTGCAGTGATGCAAACTTTAATCCCAGACCAGCCAGGCGAGTCACGTTTGCCTGTCCTAATAGAATCGCATACCCAATTAGATAGTTTACTTGCCAAAAGGGAAGTTGGGCAAACTAGCAGCTATTTTTGAAGAGTTCACTGTATGGAAATGCTAATCCGCTGGCCCGCAAGTGATGAAGCATTTCCGAACCGAATTTGAATTTAAATTGTTTTTAAGCAACTCGAAAGCATAAAGTTGGACAGGCTGAAGAGCTTTCGCAGACAGCCATATATCAAAGTTCACCCTTATCAGCATAATATCAAGTGAGTGGCCAAATACATTCGCATTAATAGCTTCGGATCCAGTCTGTTGCACTTGCAGGTCTGCCCAAAAGCCATTTCAAATCGAAGGAATAAAAACGAAAAACCCATTCGTGCTGCTGTCCTGAGTACACACTGTTGATTGTTTGTCTGGCTGATGACGTCCTCCCCACACACACACATGATCCCTACCAGAACCTGTCCACCAAGAGCTGAGAGCTAAGAGCCGAGTTCACTTGCACAAAGCACCAATAATATTTATATTTTTATGTGCCAAATCATATTAAAGTTAGCTTTTATTGGGCTGCCTTGGCGGCGTACTGCGGTGCGTATGCATAATAAAAAGCGACAACAAATCGAGATAAGACAGGCGAACGAGACAGGAAATTAGAAGCCCCACCAGGCAGAAGGCGTCTCCGTTCACCGAGCATTGACCTCCATGAACTCCAACTGCCAAATTGCTAGCTGCTAACTGCTAATGATGTGTGGGCCGCACTTGCACTTGTTTAATTGCCATTCGATATGTCATGCCCTGGGGCGCCGATCCCCGTTCTCCGTTCGACTGTCATCAACCTTGGCGAAGTTCGCCTCGCTCCCCCTCCGGCCATGTGTGCTTTATAACCTTTTGTGTCTGAGTGAGTTATGCCTCTTAGCATAAAATTCATAACGCACAACTATGCGCAAGTACGGGCCCGTGCCTTCCATTTTCCATGTACCATCTTCCATCAAATGGAATAAAAGGAATACAAATTAAGTTAGGCAGTCCTGCGGTTTGCCATGGTCTGGGCAAACAATGCTTGGGAGTCGTCTTCCCAGACTACAAACTACTGCCTGCTGTCCACCCAGTCCTATGTCTTGGAGCAATCTGAGACTTGTCACCAAATTATGAATGATATGCAGCACATAAATCTCAGTCAGCAAACAACGACGGGTACGTGGGCGGCGGCGGCGATGACAAGAAGCATTGAACGTTAACCAGCACGGGGCACATCTCGAACCCAACTGTCCGTGACTACGACTACCACTGCACTCAGCGAAAATCAAGGATAGTCATATCTTTTCAAATTAACGACCTTCATACGCTGGTAAAAAGTGTTAAGCTGTAAAACTCAAGTTGTAAAAGTTTTTGGATCTAAGGAAGAAGCTTGTATGGAAATCAAGAAATTGGAAGTGAAATTCAGGGAAGCTGAAATCCGCAATGTCTTAGCCAATAAATTTAATTTAAGTCAAGACAATAAATATTTTGTTCTGTGATAAATCTCGAGGGTTCTAAAGAGAAAAGAGACTAATTTCCTATTAATAAAAATAAATATTTCTCTCAGTGCTCGACTAGGACAACAAGGACGATGTGACCGAAAGTTACTCAGCATAATTTTTGCATTGTTTATGACCAATACTTACCCATTTCCCTCCCCTTCACTTTTTTCATGTTTGGCGCACCCTTCTCAAATTTGTAGCCTGGATGCTCGGATGGCTGATGTGCAAGTTTGTGCCCTACATACAGGGTGTCTCCGTGGCAGCCTCGGTTTACAGTCTAATTGCCGTTTCCCTGGACAGGTAAGTACAAAACACACTCACTCCAATTACATGGCTATGAACTTTTATTGTGGGATCAGTTGTGTGGGGTCAGGAAAGGATTGGGGTCGTAGGGTTCGGGAACGGGAGTGGGAGCGGTAACGGGAACGGGATCGGGATGGGGACACTGTATTCATTGCAGTTAATGATGCACGACGACAGCGGGGGCGGCATGATGCACTGGAACCAGAGGAACCACCGGCCTGACGGCATGCACCGCCACCACGGGCTTGTGGACAACGGGGGTGATGACCTTGACGGCTGCCGGGTGATGAACAACATGGCTGGGCGGGAGAAACGGAAAGTATGGCGGGTAAGTGGTGGGCGCGATAAGCAGATTGGAAATGAATGGCCTTACGAGTGCACCGAGTGGGCGCCGTGATGGATGATGGGCGTGTGTACTACCGCTGGGTGCGCCACCACGGGAGCCACGGCCACCACTCCGGGAAAGGCGCTCGCCTGGGCGGCGGCAAAGGCAGCAAGAACGAACAGCTGCAGCGGATCAAAGTTCACAGATTAGTCTTATTAGTGGCATTAGCTGGAGCAGCAGGTGTCTGTCGCCCCCCGAATATTTCGATTTGTATAAGAGATAGATGGATTGACTTTAGGGCACATTGTCTGAGAGCATTTTGTTTCAGAAGAATGCATTATTTTACGTTTTTACATTAATAACAACTTTATCAAGTCAAGCCTGTCATTTAAATACAAATAGTTGCGAATTTATCATTTAAATTTACAAAAGTACTTTATCCCAAATAAATAATTGACTTTAATTGGTATTTTTATGATTCCTTTTTGGTTCTTTGGATTCTTTTTAATATTAATAGCATTAGGATGTGCTGTTTCCTAGGCACTTTTCAAATATTATTCTCCACACTGATACTCACAACTTTGAACATTTTGTAGGTGGTGTTTTCTTGGCGGGATAACTGAAGTAGGAGCTAGGCTAATGACTGGTTATTGTCAACTGGTGACAACTTGAGCTCCGAGTGCAGCTTTTATAGGGGATTTTAGCCAGGTGACCGATCCGAAAGTCAGCGCCGCTCAATGCAATCAGCTGCGGGTAAAACTGGTCAGATCGGGCAGTAAGGCAGTTAGGCAGTTAGGCTGTTATGTAGGAGAGCAGTCAGTGGAGCAGTCGTCTCAAGATCAAGTTCATCATATGCTTCTATCGCTCACCTTGTCCGTATTAGGCGCTGCATACAATCAATTTCATGTTTGTCGTTTTTTGTGCATTTTCAATTGCCTTAGAATGTTGTTTGCCGCGATATACTGATACCATTGATGTTTGGCCGCCAGGAATTGAAGTCCCAGCCCTGCATTTCCTGCCCACATTGAGTACAGAAAAGCGATAACGATGTGAACATAAAGTGGGCAAATGTCGCGGAGAACTGATTTATCAAGTGATACTGAAGCGCCTTGACGTGTGCCAGTCATAACCCCAAGGACAATAATAGAAGCCAGCCGCCCGTGGCTTTATGTACAGTTCCATTTATATCAATTTCTGGGCAGTAGCCAAAGGAGGAGTTGTGGCCGAAAAGCACTGACTCTTCGGTTTCTGCCACTGTCATTTTTCAGCCAGCGGGGACAAAGGCGTAGTACATCATTTGATCGTTTGGTCACCCACAGGCCCGCATGTCAGCCACCGCCCACGCTTAATCCCAAACCATTGAGTACAGAACCAAGTTCAAGTCCAAGTCCTGCTGCATTGATGTCCGTTTATCCAGTTATCCAGTTGTTTTGGACGCGTTTGCTGTTGCTTTGTGTTTTTACGAGCCATCGTAAACTGAATCGAAATTTAAGATTTATTATCTGTAACATGAAACTTAAATCTCTTCCCTCGGACTTAAGGGCTGATGGGTGGACTTTGGCATACTCGGATGCTGGGGAACTAATATCCCTCTGACTTAGCTTATCACTCGCTTATTCCTATCCCAATGCCATTTAATTAGGGTCGTTTCTTTTCAGAATACTTATACGTTTATATAAGTAGATGGTCTATATATCACGGTACTCGGTTATAAACATAGTTGTGACTTTATGGCGCTGGCATTGCGGCTTTTGTGTCTTCGTTGCAAATGTCAACAGTGCGTATGGGTAACCGCGGAAGGAACCGGAATCATGCTCATAAAACCACGTGGATCTGGTGAGATGACATGGGTTGGGGAGAATATGGCCAATTATTAAATTTGTCGCTTCTAGAATGCTTTAAAAGCGCATATATAAACTACTTTTGAAAGATTTCCTGGGGGTAAAATTCTTAGTAGATATGAATTCATGAAAAATATTTCTCTTGGAAAGGACAACCATAAATTTTGCTTAATAAATATGCCGACGTCACTGAGCTGTCGTGGTACGTATCTTTACTTATATGTTACTCAGCGAAATGAGTGGGCAACTGTTACCTTGAGTATTATAATTTGATATTGAACAAAACATATCTTGTTTTGATGGTTTTAATTTAAAATCATTGAATACAAAATTTCATGGCGCTGATATTTCCATAACATTTGGATATAAATATTGCAATTTAACATTATTTCTTTTAACATTTCTTAAATGGGCTTCAAGGGGAAATGTTGTTTATTTGTTGTCTATTTACTGAAATCATATTCCCTGTTAACCATTAGCATGATCAAGTACTTTATATTAAATGCCGTTTTGGTTTAAGCAATATTGAATAATTTCTTAAAAATGTAACAGTTAAAATAAAAATATTCAGTTTTCATTAGAATGCATTGATTACAACCGCGGATAAATTTTTCCGACTGCATTGTTTACTCCAAAGAACTCAATTAAGCTCTCGCCTGATTTATGAGCATACAAATCGCATGAACCAAATTATGCTAATGCAATTGGTTTTGCTCCTATAAATAAATGTTATGACAATTTGATTATTGGCTTTGCGGACAGCTTTGTTAGCCATCTCCCCCGCCACTCCTGTAATATACATTCCTAGATGAGGGTCTCGGACCACATTGTTTAGATGGCTATTTTTAGTCGGGAGCCAGAGGAATAGGATTCTGGGGTAGTGGCCTCCTTCTAATGGAATTACCGCTGTGTTATCTGCCAAATGTTTTGGCGGACAGACGCAGGCGACGACCCAAGTCCAAAATACGAGCACAATGCACGTAATTACATGGTTTTTTTGGGCCAGGAGCAGACACCCAGTTCACCCAGGACAAGTCTTGTCTATGACCATTGAGCGGGCGCCACAATGAGCCGGCTGCACTAAGCTAAATGAAAAATGCTGAACTCGTTGTTGGCCCCATACCGACTCGTCTCGCTACCTCGCAGCTCTTATTCAAATTACAATTCATTATGGCTAGCAGAATAAAAAATGACACCCCTACTCCAATATCGCCAACCACCCCACGTTTTCAAGAGCGGAGCAGGCGGGTTCAATAGTCGAGATTGGAAAGCGAACACTCAGCAGAAAAAGGCTTAAGGATGGCTGCTGGCATCCTGCGTGTGCGAATTAATCAGCGGAGATATTTGCATGCCGAGCTCCTAGTTGAAACGGTGTCGTCATCGTCATCGTCGCCTCGCCTCGACAGCTTGATGATTGCCATTATCCTTGACAGCTCAGCGCCGTCAGCCGCATCTGGAGCCGGATCTCATCCTCTTGCTCCAGCTCCTGCTCCCACTCCCACACCTTCTACTACTTTGACTATTTGCTAAAAACATCCTTTGTCGGGACTCCTCTCTTGCAGGTTCATTGCCATCTGGTGGCCCCTGAAGCAGATGACAAAGCGACGTGCTCGCATCATGATAATCGGCATATGGGTAATCGCTCTGGTGACCACCATACCGTGGCTGCTCTTCTTCGACCTGGTGCCCGCTGAAGAGGTATTCTCCGATGCCCTGGTATCAGCTTATTCGCAGCCCCAGTTCCTCTGCCAGGAGGTCTGGCCCCCGGGCACAGATGGAAACCTATACTTCCTGCTGGCCAATCTGGTAGCCTGCTACCTGCTGCCCATGTCCTTGATAACGCTCTGCTACGTGCTCATCTGGATCAAGGTCTCAACGAGGTCGATTCCCGGCGAATCGAAGGACGCCCAAATGGACCGCATGCAGCAGAAGAGCAAGGTGAAGGTCATCAAGATGCTGGTGGCCGTGGTTATTCTGTTCGTATTGTCCTGGCTGCCGCTCTACGTCATCTTCGCGCGAATCAAATTTGGCTCGGACATTTCGCAGGAGGAGTTCGAGATCCTCAAGAAGGTGATGCCTGTGGCCCAGTGGCTAGGCTCTTCGAACAGCTGCATCAACCCCATCCTTTACTCGGTGAACAAGAAGTATCGGCGCGGATTCGCTGCCATCATCAAGTCCCGCAGCTGCTGCGGTCGCCTCAGGTGAGTAGATTTGTAAATTAATTTTTATTAATATTATTTCTTAATTTTAAATAATAAAGTGTTGAACTATTTTATCAAAATTTCATCTTGATGAAATAACTTTAATTCTACCACCCAGGTACTACGACAACGTGGCCATTGCCTCTAGCACCACCAGCACCAGGAAGTCGTCGCATTACCACCAGAACAGCTCGAGGAAGAGTCCGAGCAGCAAGGGCAATGCGGTGTCCTACATCTACGAGCATAACTCTCTGCGGCGGCACAACATGATGCTCAAGCAAGACAGCAACCTGTCGCAGCAGATGCTACTCAAGCAGGACTCGCACGGCTCGCGTCAGTTCCTCATTAAGCAGGAGAGCTCCTGCAGCGACGCATCCGGAATCCGGAGACCTCTGTGCCAGCAAGACAGCAATGGTTCCAAGGTGTCGCTTTCTAAGCAGGATTCGATTGTGTCCTATATGGAAGCACGTCGTGCGGCGGGACACGGCCTGAATGACACAATAGCGGACGGAGTTAGTGTCTCGATGGACGTGCCCCGGCGTCCGGGTGCTACACCGAGCTCTTTACTTGACAAACGGCAGAAGTTCGTTAAACAGGACTCGGTGATCTCGTTCGTAGACCAGCGACCAGAACAGCGACGCCATCAGCTAGTCAAGCAGGACTCGGTGATCTCTTTCGCTGACCAGCGTCGCGGACTGCTTCACAAGCAGGACTCACTGATGGCCAACCGGACGGGTGATGCACCCACCCACCACGTCTCCATACTGAAGAAGACCGACTCGCAGCTCAGCTACGGCAGTTCAACGTCTCCGCGCCGGAATGCGGATCTATACGAATAGGCAACTTCAAGTTGAACAAACTCCTAAGTTTGGTGGGAAACACCTACCATTTGTGTGGGTTGATGCTGTTGAACAAAAAGTCTATAGAGGTTCAAGTAATCCATGGACAATATGATCCAACTTTCGGTTGATTCAAGAAATTTTAAGTTTTAAAGATAAGAAGAGATGCTTTGAAGAGCTATGGATCACATAGACCTCAATGGTTTTTTGATCAGCAATTCAATCCATTCTTACAAAAAAAACTAAAGCAACGATACCAAAAACTTACCGAACCACAAAACGAAATCCTTGTATATTTCTATAGCAGCTAATCGGAAAAGGATCGAATGAATGTAGAGTGATAGGCCTACGACTGTGATACAAGTCGGCAGTGCTGGGCTAGTCAGTGCCGCACATATCCGTCATCGTCGTTGGGACAGGATAGTGGATAGAAGATAGGATAGTGTGCCAGTAGGGACGAACATCGGGATGGACCAATGGGGAATGGGGATGGGAATGGGAATGGGGGTGGGGTATATCTAATCAGAGGTCGCTTAGCTAGAAACAGACACGGACACGGAAACTAGAACAACACCACAAACAGACACACGCACACCACAGAGAAAACAAACACTCCCACAGACCTAATAGTTAATAGATGTTTTATACGTGTTTCAAAAAGGTACTACACAAGATATGAACTACTCCTTGGCTATGGCTATATAATATCTAACATATATGTACCGTTACGCAGTTTTAAGATTGTTTGTACTCGCAATTTGCTATATCGAAAAGTTTGGTTAAGAGTGGGTGGATTAACGTGGGAAACGATGAATGGGGTTAAAAAAATAGCTTTGCTAAACTTTTTGTACGACGGCGAACGTGAGTGAAACGGGCAAGTCCAGTATCATAGTTGAGAAAAAAAAAAAAAAACAAAATGAGATAACACCGAGGTCTAAAGTAACGTACCTACTAAATTTTTGTATGGAAATTCTTACAATTTATACATATATATTTATATTGATTTTGGAATAAGCAATATGCAATACAAGCGCGTATGTCTGCGCGTACGCCGTGTATCTATCAAACAACAATAATCAATTTTATTAGAATTTTACACAACCGAGTCACGGCAGCGGAAATGGCACATCAGTGGAAAATGGTTAGTAAACGCAATACAACGGAATGGTGGACGAATGATTGGCACAACATCATAGCTTAGTTATCGGTTAAACGCCGATTATTTCGATAGCGAAATCAAGAACGATAGGCAGAAATAACGAGATAGTGAGGGCATCGAACGCGCACAAAGTAGCACTTGACCATGCTGGGACAGAGTCGACGGGATGGGGTAGATTAGGGAATAGGGCTAGATTAGGAATAGCAGGACGGAGGAGTTGGTTGTCCGCTAAGTGAGCACAAAGCAGTCAAAGATTTCGCACTAAACGTATCACTACAAACTAACAAAGAAGCAAACAATAATCGAACTCAAATTCGTTAAACACTAAACACCAATAAACTTTAAACTATATGAAATAAAATTTTAACGGATAACGAAGGCAGACGGAATCAATGGTAAAACTATGAAACTAAACGTAAAGATTAACTATGCAATTTTATTGTTAGCCAAAATTTTATAAATGTCAAGTAACGAACAAGTAAATATTTATATGTATACAGAATATATCAAGTATAAAGCATACGTTATATATCTTTATATACTTCGATGGCATTAGGCGCTGATTTGTAGAGTTTTGGCCCGCTTCGATGTCGCCGATCCGATCAGACATATAGTTTAGCCGTACCATCCGATCTCCATTTAGACTTGGGGAGCTTAAAGCCCAGTCCAAGAATCGAATGACGCGCACGGCCTGTTCAAAACTCCAGCGCTTAATGCAAGGCAAGAATCTACAATGAGGAATATCAATAATATATTTCAAATATACATACATATATTTATATATAGGCCTAGCGACTCGTATGCCAGCAGTATTGGCAAACAAACAACAGAACCGAACAACAACGTCTAGTAAACAAGAGATTACATTTATACGAATACATATTATATGCTGCTAGTATGTAAAAGCGCGCAATATTAAGGTCCTTTCCCGCTTTCGATTCCACTTAAAGAAGAACTTGAAAGTAGCGAGCAGAGGGATTTAACCAAAAATAATATTTATCGAATAAACCAAATTGAACTTTAGGTTTTAAAGTTTTAAAACGTAGAGCATACCCATATTCACATGCATGTGCATTATGTTCGTTATTTACCAATGCGGAAAATGAAATATATTAAAAAGAGATCGCGCGTTAACCAGTTAAACAGAAAGCATGACATTAATGGCAACACAATATTATATATGTAAATATATGTGGTTATATTTATCGCATAGAACTAACACCAAAGATACATGCATGTTAGCAGAAATAATAAATAAATAAATAATAAATAAACTAAGAAATATTTTTTAATTTGGTATAAAATGATGTTGGGATATCGAAAAAGAATTTTCGGATATCGAATATGAATATATGGATTATTCATGTTGCATACTTTTGGGCAAGCGTTATTAGAAAGGAAGGATTGGTTAATTTCATTCAAAATAAAAAGTAAGTGCACGTCTAAATACCGCGAACTGTTGTCTTACACAGAATGGTACCTCATATGCAACCTTATATTCACAATGTATTTATATTGGCCAGTTTGAGTTGAGTACTTTAAAAACCCATTTACAAATCTTATCTGTAATTAAACTTTTCACCCGTACTGATAACCGATGATTTAAATTGATGTCGACTTATTAGTAGAATCATTGTTCATTGGGAAAGCATTTAGAACGGTCTTGCCATGAATCGCTGGTCAAATCGAGTTGCTGTGGTGACAGGTGCCAGTGCTGGAATCGGAGCAGCCTGCTGTCGGGATTTATTGGCCAAGGGAATGGTCGTAGTGGGTTTGGCACGGAGAGAGAAGCTGCTCGGTTCCATACCCGCCCTTGCGATGTCAGCAACGAGCAGCAGGTCAAAGATGCCTTCACTTGGATCGACCAAAAACTGGGTGGTGCTGATGTGCTTATCAACAATGCCGGGATAGTGCGTAAGCTCAACATTACGGATGAGGGAAATTCGGATGATGTCCGCGCCATACTGGACGTCAATGTACTGGGAGTGACCTGGTGCACTCGGCAGTGGTTCTTATCACTGCAGCGCCGCAAGGTGAACGATGGTCATGTGGTAATTATTAATAGTGTGGTCGGGCATGGTGTGCCAGCTGTGGATGAGTTCAGCCTCAAATATGTATGCGCCCTCCAAGCATGCCAATCACCGCCTTAACCGAAATTCTAAGGCAGGAATTCAACAAAAAAGGCACCAAGACCAAGATTACAGTGAGTAAGACGTAATCTTTGAACTCAAACTATTATTAAAATCTTACGATTTCAGAGCGTCAGTCCCGGCGTTGTAGACACGGAAATTTTCGAAGCTGGCTCTTGGGAACAACCCAGTGGCGTACCCATGTTGCGATCGGAAGATATAGCAGATGCCGTATCTTATTGCATCCAAACCCCGCCAAATGTACAGATACATGAGCTTATTATCAAGCCTGTTGGTGAAGCCTTTTGAGGTGTCCACTTCAATAGGATGGCCAAGTATGTTTTTGTTGAGCAAAAAAAACAAACTACTTCAGTTTACATAGCTGTCTAAATAACAGAAATATTTTAATAAAAAAAACATACCCGTGACCTTCATTATCGGAGGTTTAATCGATCTAATATCAGGCTTAACTTTTTATTACGTTTTTAAATATTTTTGTAAAATAGAACCCCAAGGCTTAAAAACAGAATTCCAAAGTCTAAATGGTAATATCAGGTGTAATTTTTTTTTTAAGTTTTTAAATATTTTTGTAAAAAGGAACACTAGGCTCAGAAACATAATTCAATTATAATTTTCTTTTTATATAGAACCAAAAATCTATCGATCTGCAGGCAGATAATGATCTAAATAGAGCTACCTTGAGTGGGAATGGGATCACAGCTAGTATGACCTATTGATTTAATCGCGTTGCCGTCGTCCCAGATGCAAGCTCCAAAATTGTAATCTAAATGGTAAGTGTGGGATTGGTTGGAAAGAATCAATGTCTCGAGCATCAAGGGCATTTCTTCCATACGATCAGGTTGCTCGCCTCCATTTTCGGGTTAGCGGTGCGAGGTTAACGATGGCCATGTGGAGATTATTATTATGCTTAGTCATAAAGTGCCCATGTAGGCACTAGCAAATATGCTCACTCGCAAAAGAAAATCATTTTACAGACAGTGATTTTGATTTTCAAAATATAAAATAAAACGTATACGATATGGTGTTCCGATCTTTATGTAATTCAAATCGTATAAATCATTTATATAACAACTGTTGACGAATAAAAAAATAAAATAAAACATATTTATTTATACAGTATTTCTAGAATTATTGTTACTATTAATATAACCAGAAACTAGCGTTGTATGGGGCCTCCAAAACGTAAGTCGTAATCCGATCCATAGTTGTTTGTTTGTAAATAGAAAACATCCAAGTATTCATTTTCAGTGTCGGTCTACATGAAGAATAATTTTATTATCTTATAGGTTGCGTATAATTATTTTTACTTACGTAGAACTCGGGGCAGTAGGGAGCGTAAACTAAGTTGTAATGGTCTTTGGAGTCTGGGATCCCTTACAGATTTCAGAATTTGCTTAACGTCGTTTGCAAAGCTTGAAGGGAAAGACCATCCATTGTCGAAAGTCAAAAGAAGCGAAATCGAGTTTTTGACAAGTTTGAAAAATAGGCAAAACGCTATCGCTGTTTATTTTGGACAAGTCTTTTTCAGCAATACTAAGAGATGTCAGTTCATTTAGTTGACCTAGGTCCGATAAGTTGTCACAATTGGTTCTGTAAACAATATTTAGTTCTTTTAGAGACTTAATTTGCGATATTCCGTGTATCTCAGAAGAACTTGTTATTGGTGTATGCAGTTTTTGTAAAACTGGCAGGCTTTTATTAGCAAATGCCTGATACAGTTCACTGAGCGAACCACCAGCCTCAATGATAATCAATTCTTTGAGATTTATTAGATTTGCCAAAACTTCTACGCCCGGGTCATTGACTAGTGCGCATTTTAAGGACTCCAATGTATCAAGATGAGCAAACCAATTGCATTCATTGGACCCAATACCGAAGTGTAAATCCAATTTTTGAAGCTTACACAGTGGGTTTAAAGTCAAAACTCTTAGTGAATCAACTGATCCAACCTGTAAACTTATTAAAACTGGTATTTTCGAAACTTCAATTATTTCTGTCAAGTCAAGTGTTTTGCCTATAATTTCAAGACGCTGAAGCATAAATTTACTTTTTGAGGAAAATGCAGAAAATAAATTCAGCAGGGATCGGTTTTTGCTTTCTACGCAGACTATTAGCTCTTCAATACTTGAGTTAGCTAGTTCGGTAAAGGATTGGGCATGTGGCATGTTGGCAAAAGTGCACTCCAACTTCTTAAGTGACCTTATTCGGGAAACCTTCGCAACCTCTTCACGTGAAAGTTTTTTTAAGTTTACTTTTATACATTTAATACTATTATTCTCAGCTAGCTTTGTAAAAAGAGAGGATAGAGATCCAAATCCAATAGTTTTTATTTTCAAAACCTCGAGTTTTTTCAAATCGGCTAATTTTTCAATTCCAGTTAAATCCGCTATATCACATGTCAATTTCCTTAAAGTTTGAATTTCTGCCACTTTGGAGATGTCAGAGAAGTAGTGATTAGTCAATTTGGAAAGATCCAATTCCTCGATCATACATAAATTGCTAGTGGCGAAGGATTGAAAGAGTCGATTTAAGGAAGCAGGATTTGGAATACCCGAAAGTTGAACCGTAGTAACGTCACTGAACTCCGCAAGGGGAGCCAGGAGATCGGCTGAAAAGTCCAACAACATACAAATGTGAAGGTATTTTTCATTTTTCAAAAAAAAAATATCAACGTTTTGGGTAGTTATTGTCAGTGTCAAACTGACACGTAGATAGCAGATAAGTAACTAGCCTTGAAGTACTGGCATCGACGGAGTCATGTACATTGATTTTTAGGTATTCCAGATTATAAAGTTGACTTAAAAACTGAACGGAACGCCATTCAGATAATTCACACTTCAGAAATCGAATTGAAGTTATAGATGCAAGTTCTAAGGCCCCTACCCGATCGAGTAAAATATTTCTTATTATGCAGGATTTTAAAGCAATCGACTCATTGGAAGCCAGTGATCGGAACAAGTTTTGAAGTTTGGATTGATTAAAAGGCACATCACAGGAATCTGTTCGTATTAATAAGCTATTAAAGTTTGGCAGCTTTGATAAAGATCCTAATTTTCTTATGTCCGAGATTTTATCAATTGTCAACACAATTTCTTCTTTACATCTATCAAACACCAGGCCCACAAGCTGACCTACAGATATGGTGGCAAGGGATCCGTTTATTGAATTGCCATCTTCTGATAGATCATTTAGGTCGTATTCTGCTGTAAAGTTTATGTCCCATTCTGAGTTATATTTATAATACTGGTATATTTTCAAGTATCGAAGTGAGTTAAAAGCAGCAAAAGTAACAGACGGACTTTTAAAAATTTTATCTTTGATTGTAACAGTTAACGGCTGTAGGCTTCTAGGCCTGTGCCACCGCCTCATATCAGCAAAGAATAGATCTATCGAACCGACTTCTTGGACTCCAGAGATAATAAAAGTTGTTAAATTTGGCAACTTTGCCAGCGGTGCATATTGGGCTGCTTTAACTTCCGGGTTCAACGTAATCCTTAGCTCTCTAAGGTTCCCGCAATAGGCGGTAATATCGGATATACTTCCATGTATTTCAATGTTTTGCAATGACAATTTTCTTAAATTTGGATAGGACTGGCAAATGTCCATTAAAGCTTCTGCAGTGATATTAACATTCAACTTTGATATCTCCGTGTGTATAAGGTCTTTTGAAACGGCTTAAAATAAAATGAATCAAATAAGACAAAAAAATAACTATATAAACAATATCTTACCTGTTAGGTAAACGCTCCTTTCGTATTTATGCTGAACAAAATCGAGTTCAATATCAAAAGAAAATCTTTCTTTGATTGATTGTAAGTAGGACCTCCAAAATAAATGCCTATTTTGGCTTGATATCTTATTGACGCGCAGTTCTATTAGCATCTTTGCTATCCTGCATGCAAGACGCATACGTAGATCGTGGTATAGCCTTTTGTGATATTCCGCAAATAGTTCCAAAAATGATTCATGGGCCAATAAAAAGTCAACAAGGTTGTCATATTTCACGAATTTGCTATATTCATTTTCTATACAATACCTAATTACGAATTTCATTATTTCTAAAAGGCAGTCGGTATTAAGAATAAATTTGCCATTTTCGTCCATTTTTTATATTAAATGCTTTCAGTTTTTCACTTAATTGGATTTAAAATATATCGCAGAATAAGATTCAAGTAAATTTATATTTTTAACTCAAAAATTTTTATATAGAAAATATAAATCTTTAAAATCTTCTCCGCTGCAGACCACGTTGTTACTAATATATTCAGACTATTTTTTTGACAATATACAAAGCACTAGCGAAACGATGTTTCGTTGACCTTATTGCTGTGATTCAAAAAGAGAACTAATCAGCAAATTTGTAGAGACGCAACATTTCCTATTACTAAGTTAATAAAAATGAAATTCATGATTTTCATAGTTTCACATAAAGGGCTGTAGCTGATTATACTAAATACTAAACTAAGTATTATACAATGACTCATAACGAAATTCTTAAATTTGTATATAGGAAAGGGGGAATTATTGTTATACATATAAGTAAGGAAGTTAATTAACATCGGCATAAAACACGAATAAAGCTTAAACACTTTTAATCAAATAACTGTAACTTTACATTTATATTCAAATTATTTAAAAAAATAACGATTTTCATATTCATTTATGAAAAGTTTTTGCAGCTTACGATAAAGTCGTCTGATTTTAATGGAAATATACTGGACATTTTGGAATTTTATCTAAAGGGCTTACAACCCAGAAACTATTTATTGAAAAATGTAGGTCATGAGATCCTCATGGGAAGTGAAGTCATAGAAGTTAAAGCAGTGATGGGTATCTTATAGTTTTGGCACTCTACTATAACCTTTGTTCTTGTTTAAAGTTTATTTATTTCATATTATTATTAAATTACTAAATTATATTATATTATTGTAACGCCACGACATCCGCGATTGTAAAATACCCATTATCGGCTAAACAATTTTAAAATCATTTTGCTAATACAACATTACATAAATTCTATTAAAAACGGTATAAAAGTAATTCAATAAGCCAGCAAAAATTTTATTTGTTTCTTTATCCAAATCATACGTAGCCTAATTTTTAGTTTATTTTTAATTTATTTTAATTATCAGAATCCCAAAACAAAAAACAAAAATATCTAACATGATATTTAAAAACGATATTAGTTGAAATATCGCTTCCTATCGATTGCAGTTCGCTTCTAATACTTCTATCGAAACCATTAGGTGCACGTTGTTCAACACTAGCAATAGCTAGCAGTAGTAGTGTGTCGGGATTGTTTTTTTTTTAGTTTAATATTTCTCAACTTTTAGATCGTTATTCGCCCAATTGGTCAACTCTTCCAAATTGCAATATATTCATTAAAAAGCCATATTTCACGGTTTTCAACGCCGTCGCGTTTCCTTGCCACCTTTGAAAGCTAATTGAATTATCCACGCATACAGTCGCAACCAACCCATCGCCTGCGTCATAAGCTATTTTCGTCGATAATAGAATCCAAGAATCCAGACCATGGACCCAAAACAACAGACATCCCAAGAGGAAGTGGTCCCTGTAACACCGCTGCTGGAGGAGCCGCTGGACCTGGACATGAAGCATTGCTTCGAGAATCTGATTGTGATCGACGTGGGTGCAAATCTGACCAACAAAAAGTATAGCCGTGATCTGGATTCCGTGGTGCAGAGAGCCAGAGACGCAGGTTTGTGTGGCAGATACAGAAACTATATTATATAGACATTAATAATGAGACCCGTGCAGTGTCTTCGTTTTGGGGCGAGGCTGCAAACATTCTCAGACAAACAGACTGCCAGAAGGTCAGGCAATAAGTGAGCAACAAGTGTTTAGCGAAATATGTTTGGGAATGCTGAAGGTATTCTTAACTCAGTGAACAGGTTGTAAGGTAGTATAGGGGTATGGATCAGGAAATTTAGATTACTTTTTTTAGTTGTTAAACTGCCCAAGTTAGAAAATACTAAAACCGTTAAGAAAAATGAAAATCCATTTTTTGGTTTTAATTATGATTTTATATGAAAATATATATTTTATAAAAAGTAGTTTGTAAAATATATTAATTTGATAGCTGGACAGAGTATTTTATCTTCGGTTTCGGAAGTCAACTATTTTCTCTTCTCTATGTGGCACAGTGCAATGTGCTCTAACTTTCTCTCGTATTATTTTTTTAGGTGTTCAGAAACTAATGGTTCACGGCACTTCGGTCAAATCAAGCAAGGAAGCGCTGCGCCTTTCGCGCATATATCCCGACATAATCTACTCAACTGCTGGCATTCATCCGCACGACTCCAAGTCCATCGTGGAGGAGCCGGCGACGTGGTTTGATTTGGAGCACATTGCCCAGGCTCAGGAGTGCGTGGCGGTTGGGCCTTGCGGCCTAGACTACCAGCGGGACTTCTCCGAACCGGATGCCCAAAAACAGATTTTCGCAAAGCAGCTGCAACTGGCTATCCGGCTGAATAAACCTCTGTTAATCCACGAGCGGTCGGCTCAACACGATCTACTCGAAATACTGGACAAGTACGAGCCGTATCGCTGATTTTCAATGCTTTTAACTTGTTCCCCTGTAGATTCGAGAATCTGCCACCTGTTATCGTCAGAGGTTTTATGGGGACCGCCGAGGAAGCGCTGAAGTATCTAGAGCGCAGGTTCTACATCAGCCTGACGGGCTATCTGTGCAAGGACAAATCGGATACTGGCGTGCGCCGTCTGCTGGAGGATGGAACTTTGCCGCTGGACAGACTACTAGTTGAGACGGATGCTCCGTTTATGTACCCGAATACAAGAGCTTCCAAGCTGCCACAACACGTGAAGACTGGCATCACTGAGCGCTCTTTGTTGTACTTACACAGGTGAGAGGGATACCAAAGGGAACCAATAGATTATCTAATGTTTTCAACTATTTTCCAGATATTGTACCTTTCAACGCAACGAGCCCTGCAGTCTACCCGCCATCGTGGAGATGATAGCCGCCTTCATGAAGAAAACCCCCGATGAGGTAGCACTGGCCACCGCCTTTAATGCCCTCAAACTTTTCGGTTTGTCTTAGACAACTGAAACAAAGCCCTATGGAACTGAACGACAAAGTGTGCCAGCCAGCAGCTTTACAACCGTAACTTTAGATTGAACGAGCTTGAGATTCATGATAGACTCATACCTATGTGCCTTAATCACTAATCGAATTCGGGATGTAGCACTCATCCTGATCCAAACACATACACACACCCACAAATACGAACCCCATTGCATGCGAAAAGTACGTATACGTATATACCTATATAATCATCCCCTTGCCCAAAACGATGCAAATTATCAATCGAAGTTTGCAGGGCTTAGTTATAAGTTGTTGGAATTTCCCCAAGCAATTGCTTTATTTACTCGAGTACCCCTGAGAAATGGTGCCAAGGTGGTGCCAAGTGGACGTCGACTGGGAATTTGTAATGGATCGACGCTTCACGCCTCGAAGCGCGCGCTTCGAAATCGCTTCGGAAGCGACAGATATAGATGTTAAGAGCTGCAGCTTGTCTTCTGTTTGTTTCTGTATTTAGGCTAGAATCATTACTTTTAGTTCATGTCTCTGTTAGACTGTAGTCGTATTTTTTGTAAATATTTATTCTTGTTGCGACGATGACGATGATGATGATTATGGGAAACGTAATGTGATCATTTTAAAAGCTAAATATTTATATGATATTCAACTTATAAACACATTAGTTAGGCTATGAAACATATTGAATATCGTGCGCCTATACATACTATATTTTGTTATATTTACATATACAAAACCGTTGTACTGAACTGATCGACCCGCGGTGGTTGCATAAAATCCGCTTTGTGCCCATTGTTCGCACACAGACAAAAACTATTTTCCATTTGAATAAAGCGAAATTTAAACCCAAACGAACAAAGCCAGATCTTAATACATACGTCATAACGTGTATTTTTGGTTCGTTAGCACACTTAAAATCGCTGAATATTGCTTAAGTCCTCGAATTTCTCTAGCTGATGCAAATTGTCCCACCATAGCTTTAGGCGATGCTGCAGAATCAGAGAGAACCAGGGTGTCAGCGGGGCACTAAACTTGGCCACCGCCTCGTCGATCTTATCACGCCGCAGATAGCGCACCTCGCTGACTTCGTTGCTATTTGGCCGTAGGGTCACGTCTTTTTGGAGAAACAGGATGTAGTCAATTTCGTGCTCCCCCCATACTCCATCGCCCGTGTCCGCGTAGTGGATGCGCGTAAGGTATCGGAAATCCTGCGGCTGCAATTCCTCTATAGGAATGCCCAGTTCATAGTTAAGGCGCCTTTGGGCAGCCAGTCGGATGCCCAGTGCGCCACTCTCCTGGCGCTCCTGCTCGATCTCGTGGAGTGGATGGCTGCAGCAGGCATTGGTGTATGTACTTGGAAAGGTTATCTGCGTAGGTTACAGTAGATTATAGACTGTATATGGAGGGGATTTCCCTGAAATTTCACCTTGTGAGACGAACGCTTTTGCACCAGCATCTCGCCTTGAGAATTGAAGAGAAAAACACTGAAGGCGCGATGTAGTTTTACATCTTTCGACTCTGGGTGCACCCGGTGGCAGTCGGCCTTGGATGATGCACCAATGGCATTGTCGTTAGAGTCCACCAGGATGCACTGCTCCTTAAGTGCAAGCGCTTGCAGAGGGTCGTGCACGGACAGCTCTGTGGGCACATGGCGCTGCTGCTGTTGGCCTACCGCCGTTGTTGAAAAGCCACGCAGCCAGGGCATTCGGCGAAGAAGGAGATTCCAGCGAGACGCCAACATTTTTGGTAAATGACTAGTTTCGAGTGATGTGGGGCCTGGGCCAAAACAAATATGCAAGTGAAAGCGGGGCTGCCAACTATTTCGATTTCTCCAAGGCACTTTGCAGCACTGCGCCGGGAACAGCTGTTCCGGAACAGAATCAGTAGCCCTGGTCATAGTGATACACAATTTGCTCATAATCAGTTTTTCGCCCCCGCCGTCGAAATAAAATAAAATTGTAAATAGCCAAGCAGCAGCTTGAGAAAAAGACCCAAAAATGGTGAGAACATAGTCACTTACGCGCTAAGATTCCCTATTTGACCCATCTATCGCCCAGATACGCTTCATACTCATACAAAACCGAGCTGGAAAAACTCGCCTGGCCAAGTGGTACATGAACTTCGATGACGACGAAAAACAGAAACTGATTGAGGAGGTCCATGCCGTGGTTACAGTGCGCGATGCCAAGCACACCAACTTCGTAGAAGTGTGTTCTATTTTGCATTCTTTATCGAATTCCCCATATAAATTTGAATCTTGTCCCCAGTTCCGCAATTTCAAGATCGTTTACCGACGTTATGCGGGCCTTTATTTCTGCATCTGCGTGGACGTGAACGACAACAATCTTTGCTATCTGGAAGCCATTCACAACTTCGTGGAGGTGCTGAACGAATACTTCCATAACGTGTGCGAGCTGGATCTGGTATTCAACTTCTACAAGGTGTACAGCGTAGTGGACGAGATGTTCCTGGCGGGCGAGATACGGGAAACCTCGCAGACGAAGGTGCTCAAGCAACTGCTTACGCTCAATTCGCTGGAGTAGATCTTAAACCACCTCATTGGATGGGATGGGATCGGATCCGCCAAATGCATTCCCCCAGGCGTTACACCCGCTTATCGAATCTTCTTTCATATACTATTACGCGTATTATTATTATTATTATCTATAATGTGTTCTCTATGCAAACACTCAAATGTTAAAAGCCGTGTTTAGAAACAAATGATGTACCATAAGAGATTGTATGCAAAATCTATATTTTATTTTTGTTTTATGGGGGTGTTGCGGGTTAAAAGGCGATAATGAATTTTCTGGTTCCGCCCATCTCCGGTTGAAAAAGTGTATGCGCATCCCTGGTCAAAAGAGGAAATCACGCGCTTTCCAACACTGCCACCAATGCCACTTCGTCATTTTTTCAGTCGCCATTGTTCTCGTTCTCGGCCGTCGAATTTGTGGAAATAAACCTATTTCCCATTTAAATTCGCTGCAATACATACAATAGTGAGCTGCTAAACACAAAACAAACCGAGTGCGTGTCGTTTTTCAGTAATTCGCAGAGCACAAGTCGATCTAAAACGGTCAAAACAGCAGCCAGTCCAGAAGACCAGAAATCGAATATTTGTTCGTGGCAAATATATAATCTTGTGAAAAAGCCAGAAAATGTCATCTGTGAATCCGGAATAGTAAGTCGTCACACGCAGTTATGCGCATTAATTTGGATTAAAAGTAGTGACTTTTTACGGAATGGCTTCTACGCCTGGCCTTCGATAATAGTTTCTTTTATTTTTTCTGCGACGTCATTTCTGCTACGTTTCATTCCATTCATCATCGAGCAGAGCAGCCCCACTCCCTTTGCTCTTCGCCTTTGTTGGCAACTTCAAAAAACAGACGATTCGCTAAAAAAAAAACAAAAAATAGTCTCAGACCTGACAACCGCCCCAATCCAGAAACCTAAATCAAAAGTATGTGTTCCCAAACAGAGATTTTAATAAAATGCATACACACGACGGGCGGGGAGCGATAATCTCTTTAATTGTTGCTGCTTTCCGACTCAGAATCAGCTATATATATATATATATATATAGTCAAATCCCAGTAGACGAGCTAAGTCTCTGGGCGGATGAGTCACCTGCGTTGAAAGCGTTTCCCACCCCCAGCACAGCGCTACGTAATCAAAGGCCATTCCAGTTCCACTTAATTGCTTTCTCTCACTTTACGGCAATTAAATCTAAACCGATCTTGATTCGTAAAGTTTGGAAACTCTCCTCCAAAAGCCAGCATATGTAAAATATACATGTATATGTAGAAGATTTTAACATTATCACACATCATTCAAAAATTGGGGGTTGATGTCGGACATAACGCGATAAGATAAAGTCTAAAGCAAACCGGTTTTATGCATATGATTCGTTCTCTGAATAGACTTATTAACCCATCCTTGTTTTGTTTATTAATCAGGAATTCGTTTACTTATTTTAAATCCCCAATTGTTTTCTCCCAGTTCATCTTGGACGTTGAACTTTGTATCTTGTATATCTGTATCTCATATATAGAGTTTAATTATTTATCTTTTCCACAGCGACTATCTCTTTAAACTGCTGCTCATTGGAGACTCGGGCGTCGGAAAGTCCTGTCTTTTGCTGCGATTTGCCGATGACACATATACAGAGAGCTATATCAGCACAATCGGAGTAGACTTCGTAAGTCAGCTAGAACGTTGTGAAAATTATTTTTGCCTTACTCATAAAACCCTTATCTTACAGAAAATCAGGACCATAGAACTTGACGGAAAGACTATTAAACTGCAAATCGTAAGCATAAATAATGGGTAGCCAATACACTTCAGATCTAATTTGCGTACTTACAGTGGGATACTGCTGGCCAGGAGCGCTTCCGCACCATCACGTCGTCATATTATAGGGGCGCCCATGGTATCATCGTCGTATACGATTGCACGGACCAGGAGTCATTCAACAATGTAAAGCAATGGCTAGAGGAGATCGAGCGTTACGCCTGTGAGAATGTCAACAAGTTGCTGGTGGGCAACAAGAGCGACTTGACCACCAAGAAGGTCGTTGACCACACCACAGCTGCGGTGCGTATATTGCTGGGTTAAAAGGGAAAATAACAGGTATATACTGAATACGAATTTTGTTTTCGATTCTGCAGGAGTACGCTGCCCAGTTAGGCATTCCATTCCTTGAAACTTCGGCCAAGAGTGCCACCAACGTGGAGCAGGCCTTCATGACGATGGCGGCCGAGATCAAGAATCGCGTCGGGCCGCCGTCCAGCGCCACCGACAACGCTAGCAAAGTGAAAATCGATCAAGGACGTCCAGTGGAAAACACCAAATCCGGTTGCTGCTGAATAACTCTGATTGTGAATCATTATTTTATTATACAATTAAACAAAATTTAAATATAATAAATTAAAACGGAAACCACACAATAATAATAAAACAAAAGCGAAAACGATGGCGAAACAACAAAATCGTAATTATAATAACTAATTCTGTAATAACAATAATGATGAGGAATGACGAGTAGTGCGTTTGTATGATCCTAACCGTGATCCAATTCGATAAACACTTTAAGCAAATATGTATTAGGTACGTAGCCAACCAGATCCAGAATTCAGACATCCCCAAACACTCACACTCACACATAAACACAAAAAGGACATCGATCCTGATACTAACCGTCTTTCTGATTTCAGCAGTTCAGTTCATAAGTAGTGCAAAGCAAGCAAATTCGGTGTAGCAATTAACTTAATATAACTCTAACCTACAGTAAGAAGTTACCTATCACTGCAGCGCGAAACGATACCGATACCGAAACAAATATGTACTATTAACTACACTTTAATTGAGCGGAGGCGACGGCAAGAGCAATTATACTTGTACTGTGTCAGCTACTACTTACCACTATGTATACATATTTATGTGTTTAAATTACAAATACAATTTTCTAAACATATTATCTCTAGCGAACACGCTCGCCACTTGTCTCTGTCATATTGAAATTTTATGTAAATCGAAAGGAACCCAAAACCGAACGAACATTTTTAGAATTAACATCGAGCGATTGTGTGTTTATATTTTCGTGTGACGCAAGGGATTTTTTTAGGCACATAATTAGTGTAAAATATGACAACATAGCGATGAAGTTTAATAAAAATTATTGCGTGAGCGTATATAAATTGAAAGGTTTGGGATCAAGGACACCAGTATACACTTTAGTTTCGGTTTTCACTTTCGCCCGAATTTGAATCTTAATTTCGCTTAAGTCTAATAAAATCAATCTGTACCGATGCCTATAAACGTTTTGTTTTATTCCTCAATTTTGGGCAGGCTCCAAAAACTTAAGTGAAGGCCGGAACAAATCCGCACAAACCCAAACGATCTTGGTTTACACTACATGAAGTGTAAGCCGATTGTAATGACTGATATTTATACCCATTACTCGTAAAGTAAGAGGGTATATTAGATTCATTGAAAAGTATGTAACAGGTAGAAGGAAACGTTTTCGACCCTATAAAGTATATATATTCTTGATCAGTATCAATAGCGAAGTCAATTAAGCAATGTCCGTCCGTCCGTATGAACGCTGAGATCTCAGGAACTATAAGAGATACACAGTTGAGATTAATCGGGCAGATTCTTGAGGTCCCTACGCAGCGCCAGTTTCAGTTCAGTATCCTACCACGCCCACTCTAACGCCCACAAATCACGAAAAACTAAATTAAGTATGTATAATCTTGAGATGCCAGCTCATCTTATGGTCCAGCCGCACCCAGCCCACTTTTACGGAACTATAAGAGCTAGAAAGTTAGGGTAAGGACTACCACCACAAAACGCTGAAAACTGTGGCGTCCGTCATATTATAGTGGATGTCTTCGTTTGACCTGGTATAAAATATTTTCGTCAATATGTATCGATTTAGCAAAGATTTTTCAAATCGAAACATTATTTCGCTATTTATGAAGATATTTATGTTATAAGGCCAGAGTGACGTAACTCAACATGGTTTTTCTGACAATAGGTGGCGCTTTGTGAATTTCCACTAGAAAAATTGATTGTATAAAACAGTAACAGGTATCTTATAGTCGCGGCACTCGGCTTCTTTCTTATTCTTGTTTTTCAAAGTACGAATATAAAATATGAGCATTTTTTTAATAATTAGTTTATAAAAATAAAGGAACAACTTCAACTGTTAAAAAAATTTCCTTATGATATTTAAGAAATACTTTCAAATGATGATTATATATCATGATGATATATTTTTTAAACCAAAAGTCCGCAATTTTTATTTATCGATTTTTTAACTAATCATATTTTAAATAGAATTTTAAAATTAATTGAAAGAAAAAAATTACATTTGACGCTTGGGAAATTTCCACTAGCAAAATGAATATTTTAAAATTGTGTAAAACAGTAACGGGTATCTTATAGTCGCGGCACTCGACTATAGCGTTTCCTCTTGTTTTTTACTGATTAACTAGCTGAGATAGCTCCATGGTGAAGCGTAGTCTTGCCTTCGTTTATTTCAACAAAATGCTAGTTTTAGCTACGGAAAAAGTGCAAGAAACGATCTTTTGTCGAGCGGCTAGGTCAAATCTATGAGGGTATTCGAAAACGTGGTTGTTTTTGCACATCTCAGAAACAATAATATGTATCAATGTCATAGAATGATATAAAATTATAATAAAGCGGAATATTATTATTTTACTAATTTTTTTTAATAAAAATTAAAAAAAATATATAATTCTTTAAATTTTTTTAGACTTTTTAGAGATTACCATTTGTATATATTCTTAAAATTTTTTTAATTCTTTTTTAGATGAAAATTATTTCCGTTATTTATCAAAAGATATATAAAATTAAAAAAAGTTTGCAATTTTTAATGGTTTCAAAAACATCTTCTCTAGCGTTTATTGACTTCTTCTGAGGTACTTCAGTCTTTACAACAAAATTTCTTCTAAAACTATGACTATTTGCTGTTGGAATTCAACTAAATACTTAAACGGTGGCCGGCAGTAATGGGTTCGAAGGATTCGTAGGTTGGTTTTCAGATTTTGCTGGCTCGTCGCTCCTGCAGGCATGCAGTAGTAACGGTGGCAGCTGTTGTACCAATGATGGCAGCTCCCAGGATGCCCCGTTCCCGTTCGCTCAAGCCTGAAACGGACAAGCTATTGCTGCGCCACGTCGACGAGGATGTTGTGCGATCCGTGCCAGAGGAGGTGGATATGGAGTTGATAAGGAAGGTGGCCTCGCGGCGAAGAGTTCGACGTGGATGCCGAGCAGTGGACGATCCCGCCAACGTAGCTCCCTCCTCGGCATCTTGTTCTTGACGCCTGGACGTGTTTCGCCCACTTCCTCCTGCTGTTGGATTTTGCCTCTGATGGTAATGGTGTCGATGATGGTGATGAGGCCGCTGTCCCAGACAAGTGAGCAACAGCCTCCAGAAACCACTGCGAAACTTGGAGGACATTAGGTTGTACAGAATTGGGTTCATAGCCGAGTTCAAGATAGAGCATAAAGCGCGAGAAGTACAACAGATTGTAGTAACCGGCAATGCCCAGGTTCTCGACATCCTCAGCGCTAGCTAAGATCACCCACAGAGTAAAGGCTCGGAAGGGCAGCAGGCAAACAAAAAAGCTGGACACAACGGCCACCAGCATAAAGATCACCTGCTTGCGGTGCTTCCTCATCCCATTGCTCTGCTGGTGGCTATTGCCCTTGGAGCTGGGCACCTGCGATGAGTTACTGGTTGTTCCACCAGCCGGCTGCTGTGGTTGCGGAGAGGTCGGTCTGTGAAAGGCATTGTTTGGACGAAGTAACTTGTAGGCGATTGCCGCATACAAGAGTACCAGAATGCCAAAAGGCAGAAAGAAGAACACCGTGATGCTGCCCACAAAGTAGAAGATCGGCCAAAAGCCATCGGCGGCGGTAGTGCAAACGGGGGCGTCGGTTCCATCGCCGTAGGGTTCCACGCTGTAGCTGGATATCGCGATGATGGGACTGTAAAAATCATATTTTTCGTATTAGTTTGAATCCAGCACTCAGTCGCTGGTGTTGTCTGCAAAGTTTTAACGCGCTGCGGGCAGGAAACAAACAAATATTTAAAAGCTACTCAACGGCTAACTACTGGAAAAGTTTCGGGGGCGAAGCACTCAACTTAATCACATAGCGGAAACGGAAACGGCAACGTCTGCTCATACTCATCATACTCGCAGGACTGTGTGGGTTCTAGCTACTTTTGTACTTTACAAAACGAATGAAGTCTACGTCATAGGGCTACGAAAACAAATTAAAAAGCTACGCATACGGTACGAAAACGTATATTTACAGAGACTCAGGGACATTTGTCCGGTTTCCTTAGAATTATATAAATTACATTGCTGTTCACAAAATGATTAGAGATTCCGGTTGGATGGGGTAATGTTGAAAAAAGCCGATTCCTTTGACCCGTCATGAGTTGTCATAAAAAATTTATTTACTTACAAACTCTTTGCTCTTTTCGTCTGTGTTTGGGTGTGTGAGCGTGTGCGGATGTGTATTTTTTCGTATTTATAAGCAGAGTATACATGTATATAAGTACGTTTGTATAAATATATAAATATTAATATTTAGCTAGTAGTGTGTGTATGTGTATGTACAACTGTGTTTACATGTGAACATTGTGTGCATATTGAGCTAAGCTTTTTACTTGAGCCGCCGCCAAGTAGGCAACAGTTTTTTCGGACATCCGGTGATGGCCGCCCGTGTAATGGCGACCATTTTGTCCGGTCCGCAACATGGCCGGCTTACGGAAACTATTTCAATACACCTAAATCATGTTTATCCGCCCGCCTTGATGGGTTACCCGAACGCATATTAAGCCATTTCCATTTCCCATCCCAGTCCAGTTCAGTCCTCCTCCTATTTGAACGACCGCCGCTTAATGGCTTACCCCCAATCCATATCTGGACTCCAAACTCTGACCAGTAGTTGTAGTGCTGTTTGGCTACCGTTGCTGTTATTTATCTTTGGCACATTCATTCGAGTTTAATAGCCCGAAAAATTGATTGTTTTTTGTACGGAAATGTCCAAGGCGGCGGCCCAAGTTCGATTCGGGATTCTCGGGAGCTGTCAACGGCTGACTGAAATCGATTATGCCTGCCAAAAGCGTTCAGGAAGCGATTTGTGTTTGCCAGGAATCAGGATCAGCGTCATCGACACATTCCAGCCAAGTGAAGCGAGTGTGTAAACGGGTTACAGGCAATTTTTCACGCCCATCTCGCTTAGGGGGGATTTTCGTGACCAGCTTCTTCGGGGCGATTTACTATTCCCTCAACTCTAGGTAGATTTTCCCAACCTTTTGTTTGGATTTTCCCTTCATTTAGCTCCATTCTCTCCACGGCCTCCTCGTCGAAACTTATTTGCGGTTTGTGGCGTCGCGGTTGCTGGTTTCTCATGGTCATAAACCGACTATCACTCACTCTTCTGGCCATTCCCTTGCCCAAAACAGAATGTTGCAACATGGCCATGGCCTCCAGATCATTGCCACATGGCATCTGCATCTCAATCTTCAAGCGGGTGCGACTGATATCTTCGCTGCAGCGACGATTGGAGCTCCGCGACAGGATACTGGAATTGGTGGCTGCAGTGGCATTAGAGGAATTTGTATTCGTATTCGTATTGGTTCCCATTCCTAGTGTCAAGGTGCCACTACGTCCCCGAGAAGAGTTCTCCTTCCTTCTCCCTAAAGTAACCAAGTGAAGCAGTAAACTTCCAGCATCCTGACAAAGTCGCTTGAAACCCCTTCGAAACTTTGTTGACATCAGGTTATAAAGAATCGGATTCATGGCGGAATTGAGATACAGCATTATCCTGCAGAAGTAGAGCAGGCTGTAGTAGCGCACCAAACCCAGATCGTGAAGCGTCTGGTCCGTGCTGAGGATGATCCACAATGTAAGGACTCGGAAGGGCAAAAGGCAGACGAAGAAGGACAGCACCACGGCGCCGAGCATTAGGACCACCTGCTTGCGGGCCTTCAGACTAAGTTCCGGCTTTGTGGGACGGGCTCGCAGCATGGCTGCCCGGTTGGACACTAGGTTCCGAGCGATGATGCCGTACAGCACCACCAGGGTCACAAACGGCACAACGAAGAACACAGAAATGGTCATCAGGAAGAAGGCGAGCGTCCAATCGGTGATGGCCTGGGTTAGGCACACGGCCACCGACGATCCATCAATGTACTCGGCCAGCTTGTACTCGGCCACCCACAGAATGGGGCTGCTTGAGGGAATCGCAGAGTTGGGAGAAAAAGCAAACAAGAAACGTAATCAGGTGGCGGGGTCACCGGGGAAGTGGATAATGGATAATGGATTCGGGTGGAAATTTGGGGTAAAGGCCAAGAGCGGCAGGAAAAAATAAAAGGATTTTGAAGACAGGAAGAGAGTTGATTAAGATGAACCAATGACGATGAACGAAAGGTTAACCTAGTTTGGTATGAAGTTCAAGTCTCTAATGAACCTGACTGACTTTTAACCGATTTTCATGACCTGATTGTTTTGATTAGTTTTTTATTACTTGGGGTGAGACGCGTAAATTAAACTTCAAGCGTAGATCACAGATAAACGCAGTTATCTGTTCTTCTGACATTGCATACGTTTCTGTAGTATAATTGGAGTAATATATAATCGTATTATTTTTTCAAAGCTTAAAAATTCTATTTTTAAAGTGTAAAAAATGTTGTGAACTTTTATTCGTTCAAAGCAAGAAATAAATACAAAAAATCAAAATTTGCTCAAGGAATTTACAAAGAATTTTAAAAGACATTCAAACGGCAGATTACAAATTTGTATATATGTAAAATATATTTTTACAATTTAACTCAAACCAAATAAACCAAATAAAGATTCAATCATTCATCAACACGATTAAAGTTTACTTACATGGAGATTAATAATAAAATGACAGTTGATGGTGGAACATTTTTATCTAAGCATTCATTTTCTTTTGACTTTGTAAATATTTCCACCAAACAAACGAGTTTAAATACTCGTTTGTTTTGAGTAACCCGAACCACAGATTAAACAGTTCCCCCGACCAATCATCTCTGGCTAGACCGAAAGATATGACAGTCAACAGGCGGTGGCTGTATTTTTTTTCTGACGATGATCCGGGCACTTGGACGTGCGTCAGCGATTTGCCCCGCCCTCGCATTTCCCATAGCTGCGCCCATGGGCGTCCAATGGCGCGTCGGTTTGAATGTGTTTAAAATGTTTGTTCGCTTCTTTTGGCCTTCAGCTTCTTGTGTAGCGTAATTAATGGGTCTCGGCCTGGAGGCGGGTGTCCTGTGGACCCAATTCCCGACCATGACCCCACCACCCGGCCAACTGCTCTGCTACTGAACTACCAAAACTGCCGGACGAGGGGGTCAGTGGCCGGCTCGACAATGTGCTGTTTATTTCATTGTTATGGACGCGGCAAGATTTGCAAAATTAAAAAGGGTCGCCGGTCGTCCTTGGACGAAGCGTACAATAATAAAGTGTCAATGAAATGAAATCCATGATAGCGGACATCGGTGCTTATTAAAGATGACAGGGCGCTGATAAAGGGAAGCTCCAAGTTGGACAAAAGCCGCCCGGAACTTGAGGCCAATGAGGATGTCAATGGGAATGTGATGATGATGTGAGGAGAGGAGCAGAGATGGAGAAGAAATAGTAGGAATGGAAATGGAATAGATAGGCAACAGTCGCAGTTTAGCATGTAAATGGACATGCCGATGGCACACAAAAGGCCAAACACCAAGACCAGAAATTCCACAACATAATGGAAAATAAACAAAACGGAAGAAATGTGGAAAACCCAGAAACAAAACACAAATCATTAAAATGACGGCGATTGACACTTATAATTAATGAGCGAGGAACTGAATGCTTGAATGGCCGAAATGAATAAATGGAAATAAGCCATAAAAACTAGATCTAACCAAGATAAAATATTTGTATATAAAAATATGTATATATAGGACTACCAACACCAGAGAGCATGCAATGAAGCAAGTGGACCAAGTACGATATCCGAAATAATAATGCTAATGTCTAATTAAATTTAAGAAAATGTAGGATCTGGATTCGGGGGTTCACTGCACTGTCTCCAGATGGAACCGACCGCTTACCTCGTAAAGAGCGCAGCAATGCCCCAGGCCAGAACGCAGATGAGGATGGCCCGCCCCTTGGTGCAGACGTAGCCGGCCTTTAATGGCTCGCAGATTGCGTAATAGCGCTCGAACGAGATGGCCAGGATGGTCAGCACGCTGGCATGGGCCACAGTCAGCTCCACGAACGGCACAGCCTTGCCTGGAGAAAGCAGTTAATTAGGTTGGGGAAAATAAACAGAACAGAATAGCACTTGGAGCGGGAACCACTCACACATCTCGTGCCCGAGGACCCAGGTCTCTGGGCGGGTGTTGACCTCCACGAGTACGGTGGGTGTGCAGACGAGCAGGACCAGCAAGTCGGCGATGCTCAGGTTGGTGAGGAAGATGTTCGTCGAGTTGCGCATATCCTTCGTCTTCACAATCACGATGGGCACCTGCAACGGAGTGGATTTAAGATTTGACAGTCCTAAGGAGCTCTTCACTCATATAATCCTGGGTACTGTGTGCAACCAGCTGGTGCTATTCACTCAAGTTAATCTTATTTTGTTTTAATTTAAATGAATAAACTTAACTTGAATATTTTAAAATCCAACCTACATAGCAATCAAAGATTTTGTTAACATTACCATTAAACACATTTTATTTAAAGGAAATTCCTATTAACTTTCCCATAAATAATACAAAAGAGGTAACTATTTTATATCTTTTTTTGTGATTAAAGAGCTGCCTAATTTATTATATTAATGGATTTTACACACAATAAAAAGTTTGCTTTACATAAAAAGGGTGAATCACCCTGTGCGCCCTTGAGGCAATTTCCAAATGAATTAATTTCAATTATAAATGCTTTTGCCTATTTTTCTTTATAGAAGAGAAGGACTCACCATCACATTGCCCACCACGCCGAGCAGCATGATGACTATGCAGAAGAACATGGCGGTTGTGCGGATATACGATGGAATCTGTGGCAGCATCTGCTCAGCATCGGCATCGTCCTTGGCAGTTGATGTTGTTGCCTCTGCTGCTCTTTCTGTTTCTGTGGCTTCTTCATCAGATGTTGCTGCGGCTGCTGATGTTGCTGCTGTGGTGGAGTTGGCCTGGTGGTCAAATCCTGCGGCTGGAATACGATGAGTTGCGTGGTGTGGGCCATGGCCGCCACTAGGAGCGCCACGGGATATCCCAGCCTGCTGCTGCGACGACGTGGTTGCTGTTGCGCTGGATGTTGCTGCTGCGGGGAGTGCATCTTGGGCCTGGAGCAGGACAGCAGGCCGGAGCAAAAGCAGGAGCAAGAGCCACAGGCAGATCCTCGGGCCTACGCCAATGCTGGTCAGCCGTGGAAGCTGCCCAATCCTGGCCACAGCGACGCCGTGGCTGCCCCTTAGCAATGTCGGTGTCCTCGTCGTCCTGCAGCACTCGAAGTGTATGTCTCGCAATGGGAATCACAGGGACAACATTATCGAAGCTGACTGGATCCGGGAATGGATTGGGGTGCTGCCGCCACCGCCCGCTGTTCAATTAAGTGGGTTACGAGGGCCTGTCCAGCCCAAATCCGTTGTAATTGCCCGCCCGGCAAGTTTATGCTCACACTTAAATACGCGCTAATGAAATTAAGTTGTCCAACGGCTTCTCGGATACTCTTCTACCGCCGCATTTGGTCGCATTAAACAAATCAATCAGTGGGGCTTTGCGGTTGTCGTCCGCGGCCTCAAGTGGCTGAAACGGCAATAGGATTAGCATTTAAGTGTCTTGCCCAGGATCAGGAAATAACCGGCCATTGACCAGGCCGGCTAACTAACGATAATGAATGAAAAGTTCATTAGGCGCTGTCATTTACATAACATTAGAGCATCCGGCCCCCAGCACACAATCATCTCCTCTCCACCATAAACAAGCTCATCATCCGCCCTCGGGACTCTTGGCCAAACGGGACTCGACCGAAGAACCACGACGACAGAGGCATGGGTTTAATTGTCAGCAGGGTGCTTCTTAAGCTCCACACCTACCTAGCTTAGTTTATATTAAAATGGTTTGAAATAAATCCCCTAATTGTCTTAGAGCTTAAGTTCTCTATTAAAACAATTTTATTATTTTTAATAATCGTTTTTAAGTTCAGTTACCTTCCCTTTTGTTATGTCGCAGTAAATGTTCGTTCTAATAGTACTAAAGCTTTGTCTTCACAATGGTTATTAATGTCAACTTCGGACCAATTCAATAATATAAATCGTACACTATATCACTATTAAAATAAGAAACAGCAGTACACACTAGGATATTTTTAGTAGGAAACTTCCCTCCGAAAATTAATATTTTTTACTTAAAACTATAATATTAACATACTCAATAAAACGTTTTCCCATTAGATTCTAACCAGAATAGCCATACTTGGACTCTAAGGACCTTACCCTAATACAAATATAATAGTTCACGATAACTATTAACTACATGCTTTCCATTCGATCCCTTAAACACCGCTCCTGACTTGTGTGTTTGCTTCCAATCTCGGGTGACAGGGTCGTCCGGCAGACAGCGATTATCGCCGATGGCGTCTGCTGCTCATCTCCATCCTCATCAGCCGAATGAGGATGGCTGTTGTCAGCCAAATGGCTTTATTAAATCCCCATCTTTGCGGCGCGCAACTCGCTTAATTATATTATGCTCATACAGAGCGACGCACACACAGCCGAGGATGTGGACATGGACAGAGCCATGGACACTTGGACGTATAAACAGAGGCTTCCGGTGTTTGTTTGCGATTGAGTTGGTGAGCGGGTAAAGAGAGTGGGGATGTAGGTGTGTAGGGTCACCCTGGGCAGCGCCATTTTGATTAATTTGATAAATTCATTATGCGCACACCATATTGGCCAGCTTCTGGGGTTTGTTCCTGTCCGGATGCTTTTGACTATGTGTCTGCATCTCGTTCGTTTTTTCCCTCTGCCAAGCTGTGTTTGCAAGCTCTGTTTATTGTGGCCCAGGATTTGGGATGGGGTTGTGGGTTCATTGTCCCCCAAATGACATAACAAGGCAGTTTGTGTCACATTCGGGTTGAAAATGCGACTTTAACGATGCCGAGCGAAGGATTAGCCCAGCTGACGAGGCCTGGGCTCTGCTCTCTATTGGCCATTTTGCTGGGCGTAATTGTTTCGAAAGTTTCGAGTTGGTCATGTAGAAAGACAAATGAATCGTTTCAAACTTTTGGTTTGGAGAGCTGTGGCCATGGCCATCAATATGGCCACTGGGTTGGACGACAGGACACCAGGACTACACCAGAAACCAACAAAATATGGGCATATTTGTGTGTGTTTGTGTGTGTGTAGCCAACAACTGCCGCCACAAACATGCGAGGCTTGCATGTAAATCTGAAAACGGTTTATGGTTTCGGCCGAAATCCCAGCTTCTCGAGTGCTGAGCGGCCATTTGATGGATAACTTGGGGCCTGACTGTGGGCATGTGCAAAAATATACAAGTTACAGACTCACACGGAAGAAAATAAAGAATATTTATGTTATGATGGTATCAGCGGTGCCTGAAAGTATGCAATTAAGTATTGTATTTGGGACACTCGTTTTCGTATGATATTTACAGAAAGAAAACTCCTTTATTTCCTTCGAAAATTATTTGAAAATCACACAGGATATTTTCCTTTTTGGGTTCCTCTAAATATAAAATATAAATCATTCAAGACAATTATTCAAGTGGCTTGGATGTCACCCCCGTAAGAGGGCATTTATTTGAAGTTGATAGAATGACATTTCTTTGTGTGTACAGCATTTTCGTATAATTTTTTGGCTGAGATTTGAATAAGGTTTGAAGCGGCTGGCGATAATGGAAATTGAGCGTTTTGGCCTGCATCTTGGATGTGTGGGAGTGTGTGTGCGGGGGGCCGAGTGGATTTGCGTGTATACAAGGTCTCGCATGTGTATGTGTGTGGATGTGTAGCGTTTTTTATGGTATTTAAGATTGAACGGAATTTATTGCTGACACCCTAATAAAATTAACATTGAAATGGCAATTTGAGGCGGCAATAAGAATCAGCAGCAGAAGTAGCTCCAGCATCCAGTTTCAGTATTAGTATCAAAATCGGTAGCGGGAAAGTCATAGCAAGTAGTCACACCCTCGAACACACGCATATCTAATCAATTTATCGTTCAATAATAGTCAAGCCAGTGGATATATGGGATGGTTATGGGTGGATGTGCCTTAGCAGCCACTTTGACAAATCGCTAAGCGTGAAAAAAGGCAAACGAACGAGTGGGTGTCGAAAAAATTAAAGCCCAGCCGTCAAAGTGATTTCGAAGTTTCTGGCAGAGTATTTCAGCTCCTTCAGCAGCTCAAATGTCCCGCGGAAAGCGGTCTAAAACACATTTATTTTCCCCCAAAGCAACCGCATCCTGTGACCGTGGCTATGTTTCGCTTTTTTTCGCCAAGGGTGTCGCACGCTAAATAAATTGAAATGACTTCGTAATTGTATTTGTGACTCTGGCTAAATTAATCTAACTAGTTCGCATGCCGGATCAGCGCTCGTGTGGAACCAATGGGAGAAGGAAAAACAGCATCGGCATCAACATCCATCGCCAACGCCAGCTCCAACGTTAGAAAAGCGAACAAAGAGCCGTAAAACCAAAAGCTTGTTTTTCAATTGAACCAACCCAAAGTAGCCAAAGTGGATGTTTCGGCCAACAGGGTCGGTGGGGTGGCAAATTGCTTTTGTGATGGAAACCCTCGAAATCCAAAATTGACATGTCGATGGTCATGTCCCACAGTCATGTCCCTTTAATTGACCATTGAATGGCAATTAAGGCAGAAGCTATTTTTGGGTTCACGCTAGTTGGAGTGCAATAGCTTCGGACCCCTTTCTCTCCTGAATTAGCCACATTAGTAAGGGCTAAAAGTTCTGAAATATGTTTGTGTATTTTTGGGGTTAAGAAAATACAAACAACAAATATACACAGAAAAAAAATATTCCAAAAGTCATTTTTCAAAAGCGCCATTAGATTAAATACCAAACTCCATGTTAAAACCCATTACAATATTAATTTTGTGATTTAAGATTAGATCCTTGACTGTCCTATTCGATTTCACTTACTAAAATATTTTGATATTTATATTTTATAAATATAAATTAAATTTGATGTTTCTTTTTCCTTTACTAAATAGTTGCAGAGACAGCTTAGGAAGACAGGAATTTAAATTGAAAGCTCTGAATGATTCGGCACGCTATTTGGAATTACAGTTTCATGCCCCGGATTCCAGAGAAGACCAGTTCCTGTGTGAGTTTCCAGCCGCCGTTTGGCTTCAATAACTCTCTACTGGGGCTGCTTTCTGCTAGGAGTGAAGGATGTTGGCTCAGCTATCCAGCTTTAACTCCTTTGTCTGTCCGATTTCACTTATTTATGCGACTGCAAGAAGCAACTCTGCCTTTGCCCCTCTCAACTGTTTGCTCCTTACTGCGGATACTGGTTACTGTAACTGCCACCGTTTGTCTGTCTGTCTGTCCGTTGGTTTGTTTGTTTGTTTGCCCGCAATAAGAAAAGGCAACGGTCGTGGGCTAAATGCTCAAACAATGGCCAAAGACTTTGGCTAACAGCAACACGCCAAAAAATAATAGGGGATACTGACAAACCCTGAAAAAGTAATGTTAGTCTAGGAATATCGCTGAATTGATCAATATTATTTATTGTACCTCATTAACAGTTAAGACTCAAGAAGTTGCAAATTCATGTTAATTTAATATTGTTTTTTAAGAAGGAATCTTATATTGGTGAACACAACTGTAGGTTCATGTAAGTATAAATATACACAATTGCGTATGGGTTGGTCGTTCAACTAATGTTTTTCTAAAGCTGAAATTCTTTATCTGGCGGGAGAATGTGCCCGCTGTTTTGAACTCGTTCAAGTTGCTCATACGCCCTGTCTGCCAGTCACCCGCTCCATCTCGCCAGATGAATGTAATTTTATATTCCTCCTCGCAGCTTGTTGCTGGGAGAACTTACCAGAGCCCCGGCATTGATAAGACATTGGCCCGGGAAGGCGTTTTATCGCCGGATTCGGAACGGAGCGGTGAAAGATGCGACTGCCCATGGACTTCGGCATCGCCATCGCCATCGCCGCAGGCCGGGAAACTCTGCAGCTGCTCTCCAAATACTCCCCGTATTGGTTATACCCTCTACCATTTTGTTTGTCTATTTGCCAGCTATGGGAATTCAAACAGCACACACAATGCTGTGCAGACCGATGGGCGGACAGTCGGTGGGTCATATAGCACTGATAGCACTAGCTATTGTTTTACGATTTCGTGTATATTGTAAATAGGGCAGAAGAATGGCGATGTCATGAGCTGAACCTTTAGATACCTTGGAATATCGGAAATATTACTAAAACATTTAATGATCTGGACTTCTGTTGTAAGGATTAGAAGGAAGAATCTCTTGTTAATTTATAA